TCATCCGAACAATTACCATGAAAGTATTTATAGAAACGACACAGAGAAACAACCTTACGGCTGTTTGAAAGTGACTGAAGCCGAGCTGACAGATCAGGACCAATAATATTGCTGATTTTTCTTTCAATTTCATCGAGGAGCTCAAGGTAAATAATAGTGGCACTAGACCGTACGTGGCAGCAATATTCTCGGCATAGACGAATGGTAGACTTATAAATATGTAAGATGGATGCTAAAGAGAAAAATTGGCTGGCACGGCACGACACAATGAACCAAATTTCTTATCTGACCTAGCAATAGATTCAATATAGATAACATGTATAAAAGAGGGATTGGTGGCCAAATACACAATTATCTATATATGTATATGCGGCTGTTTGTATGTGTGCGTGTGTGTGCGCACGCGTGTCTGCATTTGTGAATGGTTAGGACTCTTGTGTTGATTACGACATATAAGGTCTTAACAATTCAGTTCTTAGTATAGCATTGCAGCTCCGAACAGACACCAGGTTCATTCTCAGGGTGCAGCTTCTTCTAGTCGAATACTTGTGGCTTAATACATAGCAAATAATTCTTTGGCTAGATCGTTAACCACGAAATAAAGCCATGAGATGAAATTGTAGAAGTTGGCAAATATTATTCTGCTGCAACCTTCTCTTAATGTCCAGCTGCAAGCGAGTGAGGAAGAATGGCACGAAATGATAGGGGCAAACTTGGCGTGTGCCTTCCTTTTCGCGAGTTTGCTTATTGGCTTAGAAGGACCACTGTTCTACAGAGAAAGAGCCTTCTTTGTCCTGTCAACTTTCGTCTAAAATATTATTCATCAAGTCCGCTTCACTCAGAGTCATTTGACATGGTTCTTGTGAGCCAGCTGACCTTCCTTGTCAAGACGATAACGGTCAAAACGATTTCTGTAACATCCTACAGATGTTTCCTTAAAAATATCAGCTGACAACTGATATAGCTATATTCGAACTGAACCGCCAGACTATACACATATATGATTTGACGATAATGGTGGAGCCTAGTACAGACCTAGTCACACATCTAAAGACACGATAACAGAATTCTTCTAGTGTTGAATTGAAAGTTGTCCTCTTAGACTGGTTGCGAACTAAATTCCAGTTTACCCGGTGATTTAACCCATATCTGGGGGAGAGGAGATGGATTAATACCTTTCCCAGGAATATCCATGAGAAAGTGAATATAACGGAATTTACCAGTAGCTTCCTTTAATAAATGTTATTCTATGTTACATTGATTTTCTCTCTTTTTTTTTTTTTTTAAGAAGAAGCTATTTCTCATAGAGAATAATGTGTTATATCTTTACAGGTGTTACTCACTCAAGATTCGGCCCGTGTCCATCGAGAAGTGTTGAAGAACATGCCTATTCTGAGGAGACTTGCCCGGGCCAAATTAGACGCCCAGCAAGTCAAACTGATGGGAAGTATTCTGGACGATCTGGCTGAGTAAGTATTTATCTACCTAGTAATCGCAATCGCTTATTTTCTGAATAGATGACCATACTGCTAATGGTAATAGTAGCCGTTTCTTTATAACGAAACATTCAACATTCATTGAACAAGCAGATATTGTCAGTTGATATATATATATAAAATTATGTGACTTCCGTTAGTCCGTCCGTTACACCCTCTAAAATAGCTATACATTGATCGATCGAAACCAAATTTGGGGAGAAGTACAAACAGGTAAATGGGTACAAAGTACCGTTGGTTTTACTAGGGAGTGTAGGTTAGTACAATAAATTTTCATTCATTTTTTTTTTAAGTTTTATTATATAATATACAAAATACTCCCACTATTTTAAAAGCAATTTAATGGTTAAAATAACAAATACTCATTAAATAAAAATGCTGTATTGTTTTGTAATCTTTTCTTTAAGTTTTTTATATCAGAATCTAGAAAGAAATATTTAAGTATGACCAGTTGTATGTTGCATGCTCAAGAGAAAGTTAAACGGTTAGAGAGGGCGATAATCATCTGGAAAATGATCCTGGAATAATATATATATATATATATATATATATTGGAACTTTATTTCAATCTTTCATGAGCTTCTGATCTTTAGCTATGATTAATTAATGATGAACATATTATTTTCGTTTATGATCGATTTAATCACGATTTTTCTGTTAAGCTTGGAGAGTAATTAACATTCTGTTGCCCCCAAGTAGAGTCCAATAGTGTTATAAAAGCCTTTTATCAGCTTAATCTAACAATAATTTTCCTGTTACAAGATTTGGAGAATTTAGCTGTTACACCCGTATATATATATATATATATATATATATATATATATATATATATATATATATATATATATAGCGTAAATCATAAATCCTGTCGGAATGTGACAGATTTTCTTTAGTTCATCTTGAATTGCCTTGATTTTTAATTAGAAAAAAAAGGGGAAAATATATATGGAATAGACCAACATACTCGTAGCAACACGTGGGACACAAGCGATTACATATTTTATACTCGAGATTCTCATCTCTTATTAGTATTCTTACACTTAAGGCAATTGCAGCAACACATAATTATTTTTTTTAAATTGATCACAAACCATACAAGAAATTATACCAGACTCTATATAAAAGCGAATCCAAAGGTTTCATTTCTTTCTTGGTTTTCCTCCGGCCGAGTTCTGTTATCGATGAGATTCGTGACAGTTGATGAAATCGTGTGAAGGAGTTTTTTTTTAGTTTTTTTATTATGCAGTGAGTTTCACCCTTACAAGTTCCGAGAGCCACTCGAGAGAGAGGCTTATAGAGTAAAAGATACAGTTTATGCGGATATGTGGAGAAGATAACGGTTAATCCAAGACTTGAACAGATTAAGATTGTAGTGACTGGGAAAATATTTTCAGGGGAGTCGGTGTCACAGAGCAGTGTTTCGTAAGAATAAGTTTCTCGAGTGGAACTTACTTCTCACCAACGGAAATACGAAGAGAATGGTGTTGATTAGCTACAATGCGCATAACATGGACGATTCTTGCCGTCAAGATTAGAACTGCTGGAAGAAAGGAATCTAGCTCGTTTGAATATTTCCCATGGAAGTAGCGAAATAGCTGTGAGAGGCTTGCGACATTTTGTCTGTGACAGATTGATTGCACGATGGAAAATAATTTGCCACCCACAAGGACGCGGAGACACATTTAGGCTTTATCGAGACTGGAAAGTGAGGACAGAGCAGCTTCTGTCCAAATATGACAACAGTACTCAGTTTTTGGCCTGATCTTACCACAGGTAGAGGATAGCATGAGGAGACAGGTACTTACTGGTGCGGTACAGGGAACCGACCAATTTTCCCTGCATCTTTAACGATGGATCGTATGTACGAGTTCCACTTGACGTCTGGGTTGATAGTCGTTCAAGGCATGAGGTCTCCCTAAGGGAACATCTATTCATCGTGACTGGTGATAATTCAGGGGTCCTTTTTTTTCTCTCACCATATCCAACGTCTTAAACGAAGCGGTACTTTGAACGTTTTGACGGAGACACTTCTTTAATATAGCGTTTTAGAAAGTGGAAACACTCTGTGAGAATCGAACTCACATTTGGTGATAATTACTCTAGCAAGACAAACTTGCTGGCCATTACACAACGTAGAAGTGCCCAAGGGATTTACTAAGCGTAGCTTCGGTGTGGCAGAGGGTGGAAAGTATAAAGCACCGAGAGAGGATCGAACCCATTACCCAGTCGTCATTGATCTAGCTCGACAAGTTTCCTTACCATTAAATCCCGTCGAAGTACCCCACCGTCTTTATATATAAGAAATCATTACAATTAAAACTTTATTAAATTGTAATAAAATCATTTACTTTATTTTTCTTTGCAGGTTTTGCCATTTACCTATGACTCCAGACGAACCTCATCCAATGAATCAGAATATTTTAATCAGTAATGGTAAGAAAGATTCTATTCAGAAAATGATTTTTTTTTCTGTTTGGATTACTGAGATTAGGTTTTGATTTCTCTTAATGATCCTTTTCAAATCAACATCGTCATCGTTATTGTTTGAAGTGTACTGAGAGGCAGAAGGATATCTTTGGTAACAAAAAAAAAAGAATACTGAACTGTTACGTCAGCGAATGTTGGACGATTTCCTCAAAGATGAAGAAGAAACTCGAGGCGACAGAGATGTCACTCTACAGAAGGATGCTAAGTATATCATAGACCGAGCTTGTGAGCAATGATGAGATCTTAGAGAGGTTGCAAACAAGGAAGAGGCTTATACTTAATATCACAAAGAGGTAGCTGAAGTTTCTGGGACAAATAATGAGGAAGCAGGGCCTGGAGAATCTGATATTCACGGGTCGAATAGAGGAAAGAGAGACAAGGGAAAACAACGTGTGACATATCTGGTGGACTTGAACACGTGGGTGACAGAACGTGGTCTGGGGGAGGAAGCAGAGGGAAGGAACTTGTTGAGAGCTGCAAGGGATAGTGGAGAGCCATGATCGCCTACGTCCTGAAAGGATATGGCACATAAAAAGAAAGAAGGAGAAAGTTATTAAAAAAAAAACTTACAACAGATTTATTAGAGTTGATTTCTATACGGAACGAATAACGAGCAGTTGCATCAAGTTTACTGCACTCTTTCAAGAGAGTCGGAAAAGCTCACTGGATAAAAAAAAAACGATCTCTTGCAGCAAAATACAACACCGTCTTCACGCGATTTTCGGGTGGGGAATACAGCCTTCGGGGATGTGTGCCTGTTCACGTATCTCAGCTCTGTGCTTGCCATGATCTAATAGAAAAGATCCAGTGTCGTGCATTTGCATCATTTCGGCGACCTTCCAAACGTGCTTTCTTGAACAGAAATCTCATCAAAGCCGACCGACGTCTTCAAGGTAGCGTGTGCCACGGCGCCGCGAATCCTGCGACACAGACTGTCGTCAAATTTTTTTTTCTTAATCGTTCACCCCAGACAAGGCGACGAATGAAAGAAAATAAGGAGACATTAGTGATGAGAAAGGACAATAAAAGAACATGATTCAGGCAGACAGAATATGACGATTAACAGTGTATTTAAATTTCTGAAGATTGTAGGTGTCAAGGAAGCCAGAATAGAGTTCCAAAGGCGATAAGTGTAGGGAATGAAACTATTAGAATAGAACTTATAGTTGTAAAGGTGACCCCAAAAAACGGGAACTTTTTAACAATCCAATAAAACCAAGTGTGATGGAAAAAAATATTTTATTCATAGTAATTGAAACTTTAAAATATGCCATTTAAGAAACAATGATGTTTTTTTTCATTTTTTAAAAATTACGTCCTGTAGATGGCGTCCTCCTGTACGAATGCATTCTTGAAATCTGCTGTTGAGATTCCTCATTGACTGCTGCAACATCTCAGCTGGGATACTGTGAATTTCATCTTGAATTATCTGTTTTAACTCATCTAGAGTTCTTGGTCGAGTTGTGTAAACATATACACACACACACACACATAGTGCGTTGGATAAATTGTCGCGAATTATTTTTTTTTTATTTCGCGCATACGCGTTTTTTTTGTTGTTTTTTTAATTTTGTCTCCCGCACAATATCGTAGCGTCAGTTGGGCACCGTCTGTGAATAAAAGAGCACAAAGATGCAATTTGAAAACGGCATGCTGTACTACTTGGCATTCGCGACGGAAGCTTCAATACGAACATTTCAGAGTGATTGGGCGTCAATCTGAAGACAGGGCAGAGGATTCGGAAAGAGTTGGATGTGTCTAATGGTGATTACGAAGACACGGCAGCTCGGAAAACTCACTCTGATTGTTCTGATAAGAAACGAACTCTCGAATTTGTTAGTGAGGGTTTCAGACTCAACACAGAGGCCTACATCAAGAGCCTTGAGGTGGTACTGCTGCCCTGTGTCAAGAGTGTGGCTGCTGGAAGACTCTGTGTCTGCAAAATGCTACACAAGCAGTCAATTTCTGCGACCATATCACCCCTTACATCTGCCTGCCTAAGTCCCCATAATGTAACCCCCTTGATTATTGTGTGGTGTGCAATTGATCGAGAGACCAACAAAACCAAAGATGAATTGAAGGCAAGGATTATGACAGCATTAATCAACTTAAACAAGGGGAACGTCCAGAAGAGATGCAAGAGATTCTGAAGACGTCCGGGGGCTGCGATTGAAGCCAAATGTGATTTTATTGAATAAATTTACTCATTAGGATTTCAAGATATTTTTGTCTAATTTTGGTAAATATATCTGTTAAAATAAGATGTCAATTTTATTTTCATTTTTACGTAATTTTGACGACATTTTATCCATCGCACCCTGTATTGTTGGCTGATCGATAATTTATTGATTTTTCCTTAGGAATCTTGGAAATCCTTTTTGATGTTCTGTGCCAAGACATCGACACAAAACTACTCGTGAGTACGCATTTTCTGATATTCTATGATTCAAAATCCATGATATTCAATATATATATATATATATATGATATTATATATATATATATATATATATATATATATATATATATATATATATATATATATATATATATAGTGGTAAATATATATATACATACATATACAAAATATATAAATATATATACATAGGTGCATACACATACATATATATTTTTTGAATAAAAAATTCAAGAGGCTAGAATCCAGGTAGAACTCAAATGTCCAGGACAGAGTAAGGATATAATAAAAAGGCTTAAACACTAATATTCCATGGTTATTAATTTCATGGTTAATATTCCATATTAGTGTTTGTTTAATATTTTTATATATATATATATATATATATATATATATATATATATATATATATATATATATATATATATATATATATATAAAGATGTGTTTTGTGGTACAAAACTTGATGACTGGCATAAAAAGACAAAAATTATTTTTATTACCACTCATGATGACAATAAATAAAAAGTAAAACTGAAAAGCGGGTTAGCTAACCGGTTTCGAACCTCACTCTGCAGAGCTAAATCGAGGTTAATAAATAGAATTAACACTAAAAATGGTGAACAATATGTATTGAAAAAAAATTATTGCTTAGATGGAAATTTTTATCCATTTTCATCATGAGTGGTAATAAAAATAATTTTTGTCTTTTTTATGGCAGTCATATATATATATATATATATATATATATATATTTAAGTTATGGAGAACTTGGTAATCCGTATGGATAATCCCAATGAGGATGAAATCATGAGAGTTCAATGTAATATATATATATATATATATATATATATATATATATATATATATATATATATATATATATATATATATATATATATATTCAGTTGTATCGATAAGAATTTGCGACCTGGGTTTCAGTTTTTGCAACCATTAGACAAACTGGTTTATTTTTTTACAACAGGATTTATTTATGCTTCTTTGACTATGTTTGGTACGTGTTTGCGCCTAGCCTCGGATTCTTTATATGGATGTTTTTGTGTGAACTAAAATGCGTACCCCTGTATGTATGAGTTTTCTGTGCGTATGGGAGTGTAACCCTAAACAAACACAGAAGTAGATTCCCCTTCCCACCACAAAACATAGTCAATCAAGCACAAATAAATCTAATCTTAAAAATAAACCAGTTTGTCTGATGATCACAAAAGCGGGGAACCGGGAGTCACAAACTCATATCCATACAAGTGATATATATATATATATATATGTATGTGTGTGTGTGTGTGTGTGTGTGTGTGTCTATTTATAGAACATGAAAATTTCAATAAACACATACCGATGTGTAATTAATTATAAACTTTGAAAAAAATGAACTTTCCTGGCATTTCTTTCATTTTTTCTCACTGTGTAAATACAGTAAAAAGATTAAGAGCATTTCGTCATGTGAACCAAACATTCTTTTAATTTTAGAAGTGGCTACAAACATATTTTGCATGAATGGTATATGTGTCCCGCAAACAATATTTGACGGACTCATGTGAATCCGGGTAAGAAGAAACACAAACAAAGAATTCAAAAAATAAATAGATGTATTAAAAAGACATGTTACAGAAGGATAACGAAAGTCACGAATTTGGATTTATGTAGAGTAGTGCAGGTTAATGTTTCACTTTTCTTGGAGAATCAACATTGCACTCAATATAAAATCTGTGGTTTAAGGTGATAAGTACTGATACCAAAAAGTGCTTTCAGATCTTTCACCAATTTTTGAGCATTTAGTTCTAAATATCGTCTGAAAAATGTACATTTATATCCTAATTTCATCAGGTTTATGCTTACAGACCTCAAAGTTTTACTATTTCAAAAATGAATCCAACTAAAGTTGATTTCTTTTCTATTGGATATATTGAATGGAACATATATACAAAACAGAATTCTAATTATGAATCACCACAAAAAAATAAGCAATTTATTTTACTGTATCCGATAAGCAAAAATTGTGTAAAAAATATAAAAGATTACAAAAAGTCTACTCAGTGAATCAGATTTGTTAGATCATTTGTTAGATCATAATTAATAAAATAAAAAAAAAAAATACTGCTGGGCACAAATTATAAGAAAAAATGTTTCAAAATTGCATTGTTTATTGAAAATCACACTAAAACTACAGCACTGTTAACGTATTACATCATAATATAGCAAAATTGTTAAGTACAAATTCTCTTTAAAGTAAATGACGGTCTTATTTGATGGCACAAGTTTTTACTATTAACGTGTTTGTGCTATGCATATTGTCTATATAGAGTTTGTAAAGCTTCAGTAAATTAGAAATTTTATAAGGCTTTCACTGATCCCTAGAATGAAATTGCGACGCTATGATTTTGAAACCAAACTTAAACTTTAAACTCATTTCCTCAAAACACAATAAAGATTTGTAAAGAATTATTTTGTATGATTATTTATTATGTCAAAGCTCAACTTTCAAATCGAGTGCAATAACAGGTTTCCAAAATGTACCTCCCCTAATGTACAGTCCAATAAAAAACTTCCCTATGTGTCTCTAAAGTGCTTACATGCATCGTCTCCATTGGAAAGAAGGAAAATATATCTTGCCTCTCCGAAAATCAAAGAAAAAAGAGACAGAGCCTTTCAAATATATCATGCCGCCTCTGATTATCGTCAGGGGACGGTAATCCTACACACTCAATGTTTTGTGTGTGTATCTCTCTTTCCATCGGGTGGACAAAAATCTCCTTATATATAATTAGAGAATGTCTGTAATTTTAGCAGCTATTTGTGGAATTTCATTGTTTGACGACCAACCATCTGAAATTATATGAGTTCTTGGTGAAATAAAAATAAAAAATTCTAAAAAATTGTTTTTATTTTCCGAGGAGGGTTCAATTTGGATTTTGAAGAAGTAATTGTTAATTTTACAATACTGTAAACAGTGCCCCTTTGGAAAATTAAAACAAAAAGTAACCTGGCGCAGTTATGGTTTGTTACAGTTTTTTGTGTATATGTTATAACTAGTGAGCCAGTCAAAATGACTTAAATCCCTTTATAGTCCACCAATAGAAGGTTAATCAATCAGAAGCCGCAGAACATTGTATCTGCCGTGTATAAAGGCGGCCATTTCTGTTTACCCTACCCGAATGACCAGTGCCAACTTGTCAGGCGAAGATGACAGAAGGAAGTACTACGCTCTGCTACTTTGCTGCGATATCCACTGCTAACCTGAACTACGCTTTCCTACTGTCTCCGAAATATTCACTGCTAACCTCTGGATTCTATATTCGAAGACGACCGTCAAAATGTCTAACATGGTTAACTACAATGAGAAAAATGTAGCGGGTTTGTGGAAAGAAACTCCCTAATTGTTAATAACTTTATTAATTATTTGTCGATTTTCATAAAACCTTCTTTTATTTTTAGTATACTGGTCAAAGTACAGAGCAATATTAAAATTTTACTTTTGGCCCATTTTCTTTCAATTTGAATGTGGTAGGGCGACCGCTTCTGTGGGCATCTACCGCAGATCCTGTATTCATGAGCTTGGGATGACATTTTCTGATGGTGTTTCACATCTACTGAGTCTTCTCATCAGACCGATGCAATTCTGAGAGAATTGGAAATCCTACCAGAATTCATCATTGGCGGCCATAATGTTAACAACATAAGATACGCAGATGACACAGTCCTGATAGCAGACACGGAAAGGAAGCTACAAAACCTCCTATAGAAGGTAGCGAAGGAAAGCGGAAAGGGACTAAGCATAAACTACAAGAAGACAGAACGCATGGTCATCAGTAAAAACATTCGATCTACAGATCGAGGACACTAAAATCGAGCAGGTGCGGAAATTTAAATACCAAAAGACGGAAAGTGCAACGCTGAGATCCGAAGATATATTGGGATGGCCAAAGATGCATTCAAAAAGTTAAGCAAAGTATTACGAGACATGAAGGTTTCGTTGGTAACAAAGAAAGGACTACTGTACTACTACATGATATCTGTCCTCCTTTACGGCGGCGAATATTGAATTATCTCCTCAATGATGAAAAACAGACTCGATGCAATAGAAGTATGGTTCTACAGAAGGTTGCTAAGAATACGATGCACGCGTGACATACCTAACGGGCTTAAGCGAGTGAATTGCAGAACAGGGTCTGGGAGAAATAACGAAAAATCAAAGCTTATTGAAAGCTACAAGGGACAGGGGGAGGTGGAGAGCCATTATCACCTACGTCTTCAAGAGACACGACATAGAGAAGAAAAGAAGAAGAAGAAGAAGAAGAAGAAGAAGAAAAAGAAGAAGAAGCACGAGATCCATAAACACTGAGCCATCATCTCTGTACTTATACTATGAATTTTTTCACTTCGTAACGGGATGATAGATGATTATGCGCTGTGTCAGGCGTTGTGCCATTCTACGTTACACTTGTCACTGTGAAATCAAAACAGAAATTAGCAATGAAATTCTACTACTTTATGGCTCACAATATATTTTGTTTCATGGAAATGTGGTGATATTAAAATATTTATGAGTAATTTTAAATAGGAAGTTTCTATCTTCCCACACTGTATAAATCCACACTCATGGGTTCTAATTTTATTAAAGTTCTAAAATTCATTTTTAAACAATAAATATGCGATAATAGCGATGTATAAAAATGTCCTTTTAACACACCGTTTTAATTGCTATTTGTTTTTTGGGGTTTTTTGGGGGGTGGGGGAATTATTTTTGCCTGGATCTCAGTTAAACTTTGCTATTTTTTTCTTTCTTTGATTTTTCTGAGGGTTGGTATTTTGCTTAGATCTCGGTTAAGCTTTGCTAGTCTTTTCTTTCTTTTTTTTTTTTGGTGGGGGTGGAGGTTTTTTGCCTGGATCTAGGTTAAACTTTGCAAGTCCTTTTTTGTTTGTTTGTTTTTTGTTTTTTTTGTTTTTTTAGCGGGGGTATTTTGCCTGGATCTCGATTAAACTTTGCTATTCTTTTCTTTTTTTTTTTTTCTTTTTTTTTTCGGAGGGATGTATTTTGCTTAGATCTCGGTTAAACTTTGCTAGTCTTTGTTTTTTTTGGGTGGGGGGAGATATTTTGCCTGGATCTCGGTTAAACTTTGTAAGTCCTTTTTGTTTTTTGTTTTTTCTGGGGGTCGAGTATTTTTGCCTGGATTTCGGTTAAACTTTGCTAGTCTTTTCTTTCTTTGTTTTTTTTTTTTTCTATCTGTCTGAATGTAATTTTCTGGCTTGATCTTGTAGCAAGAGCAGTATGGTGGCATGAAGGAAGTATTTCGAAAGACACTCTATTTGCTAAAACTCTTAGCAAAAGAAAACAACGCCGTCCAAACGCACATTTTTGACCGCCTTGATGTCCTGCTTGATGTCCGAGTGGCCGAATCAGACTTGGCAATAGCCTTGAAAGAGGTCAGTCTCAAATTTCTGGTTTGGCTTGTTTTAAAACACATCATATTTTCACTTAAAAAACAAAAGATTAATTGACATTTTCATTACTTCATTGTTATAGCATTATTGCCTGGCTATGCTGGCCCGCTTTGGGTGAAATATAAAATTGACATTTACTGGAAATATATGACTATGAAAGCGATTTCTCTTGAAAACCGTCATTTTGGAGTCGATCGGATACTCTACAGTACTGAATAAGATAAACGACAACCCAGAACACAGAGCATAATAAAAATACACCACAAAGCAGGCTGTACTTCATGCTAATGTGTCTACGCTGGTTTTAAAATAGCACTAAGCCTTAGTCAGCTTATAACAAAAATAGGCGCACATGTTCTTTTAGACCGTATCTACTACGTCTATTTCAGACACGGATATCCACTAAAAATAATGTCTGAAGTAATAAAATCGTGGGACTAAAAATAAATCCATTAATTCAATTAGAAATTGTCTCGTTGACATTTCGGATACGAAACTGAGCAAATATGTGCTTTCGCGAATAACTGAACGACGAAGCGTGCATTCCTTGAAAGAGTGAACTTAGCTGGGCTTTAACAGTCTCTGTGGCTGAGCGGTCTAAAGCATACCTCATCAAATGGTCATTTCTCTTACAAAGGAGGACGCAAGTTCCAAATCTGCCGGTGAGCACATTTTGCTTACGAAGTTTTCTCGAGAGCGCAGACAGAAAAATAAAAATAAAAAACAGGCCGTCTATTTCAAATACGGTTATCCATTAAAAATCGGATGAAATAATTAAAATGTCGGATTAAAAATAAATCTATTAATTCTTTAAGGATTTACACACACACACACACACACACACACACACACACACACACACACACACACATATCGTTGAATAAGGCTGACAAGGGACATTGAATTTTTTTTATCAAGTATTTCCAGCATTCTAACATTTTTCCGTTTTGTAGGAGTTAAGGAATATAAAAATTGTTTATAATTTTATAGAATTGGTCAAAAGCGCTTGGGACAATAATAGTTAAGAACAAGTTATACATTCCTTAATTCCTACAAAACGGAAAGATGTTGGGATGCTAAAAAAACTTAATAAATGACTTCTATACTTGGTCGATGATCTATGGAGGCCGTTCGCTGCCCAGACTACGTGACACCCTCTCTGCCATACCGACAAGATCCAAAGGAATACAGGCCATTAAATTTACTTCTACATACTTTTCCGTGTTTGAATATGACCGGAGGCAGCGGAAGTTTAAAACCAGGGTTTTCCTTCCCCTAGATAGACTGCCTTCCTGGGCTATCGAGATCCGTCTACGCGAAACTGCTTGTCATAAGGCGCCAGTTGACCGCCTTCGCCCATCTCCTGGCTGCAAAGGAATTTAGTTGTTTTTAGTAGTTGACTTATTTGAGACGCATGCCAAGGAGGCATTTTATAGACAGTGTCAGCTCTCTCTCTCTCTCTCTCTCTCTCTATATATATATATATATATATATATATATATATATATATATATAATGAAATGGATTAAGTCGCGACAATTATTTATTATATATATTTGTCTTTATTTTTAAAAAAAACACCAAAGTCAGCTCCCTTGCATAACTGAAAAAAAAAATTGAATTTGAAACGCTGTAAACGAACAGTGAAAAAATATTTTGAATTTACGGAATTTACACATTCACAAATATTTTAGCTCGTTGAAGATTGTTTCAGATGAAATTGAAAGTACTTGGGAAAATAGAAATTATTTGAAAGAAAATTTTATATTTTTCTTGATAAATTTTCTACATACATATACATACATATATATATATATATATATATATATATATATATATATATATATATTACTTAAACGTTATTTTAGTGGATATTCCTATTTGTACTTGCGTTCACCTATAAAACACATTTTGTCGGGGATGATTAATGGTCCCTGACATTGAATGACTGCTTTTTGATGGCTTATCAACCTTTTGTGCGTTGCTTACAGTATTCGGCTTTCCCAAAAGGTCTCCCGTCTCAGCACTGAGCGGGATCGACACTTCTTGACTTAGGTGATCGAACGAGAACCGTTTTTTTCTCACGTTTTGATCGGAAGAACTCTTTAGTTGCTCTGTACCAAATGTATTGAACTGATCAGCTGTGTGTTTATGTGAAAAGCGTGTATGTTTCCTGTTGGTTAGCATAAGACGAATTCTCTTGCAAGTGTGACATCTCCAGATTTTATCTTTCCGGCAAATTTAGCCTTTATAAAAAAAAAAAAAATGTTTCATTGTAAATCTTTCTTTTCGCAGGTTTTCGCCGGAAACCAAACCACCTGCCTTAAAATTCATCCGCGACAAATTCAAAAAATTGTCAACCGTGCTGCAGACCTACAAGAAAAAGCTCCGCAATTTCTCGATCTTCTAAGTATGATCGTGAAAGTTTTGGGAACGGGTCTCACTTTAAAAAGAAACCAAGCCTATGTGATGAAATATATTATGCAGAATTACAAAAAAGTTGCCTTCGTACTGGATTTATCCCGAGAAAACAGGTTGAGTTTCAAGTTAAACTGTTTTTATTTTATTTTCTATAACATAAAATACAACATGGGTGGGTGGTAGCACCTGTTAGGGTTCGAGCTATAGGCAAATAGTTAAAAGAAACCCCCGAAACTGAGGTCAAAACACTATGAAAATATAAAAAATAGATTTTTATAGTAAAAATACAAGAAATACATTTTGGTAAAAAAAAACAATATTACCAGAAATGCATATTCTATTCATATGAATCTAACCTAGAAATCTTGATGGCATTAAATAACCCATTGAGGTTGATATGGAGTAAAACATAATAAACCAAATCAAAAAACAGGGATACCTCAACGTCATGTAATGAATAGAAAGCTTGTCTCGCTAGATCAATTACGTACTGGAGAATGAGCTTGATCCTCACTGTGTGCCTCATACTTTCGGTATTGTGTCACATGTAAGCCAGGCTTAGAAAATCGCCATAAAATACAACAGAATTTTATATATCTATCAGTCGCACAATGTACTAATGAGACATACCGTTGTTATGGTAACGCTATGCATTAATCAAGCATAACAGCTAAATATCTCATTAGTGAGTAGTGGATATCAGGCTGCTAATACATTGTGGTTGTTTTTTTATTTGTTTCTTCTTACCTTTCTTTGAGTATTTTTATTTTAATGATTTAAAAAAGCAAGATTCTTTTAAAATTATTAAAATATTACCGTCACTTTTTATGTTACATGTCAACTAATTAACTATATATTATTCGATGTATAGTCTTCATATTTGTAACTTAACATAATGTTTCGGCCGATAGATTCTTCAACCTTCTCTCAGCTGTATTTTCTATCCGGTCATTGTATTTTCGCATCGTGTATTTTTTATTTTCTTCCTCCTTTGTATCTTCTCAATTCGGACTATTTTTAAATAAACCCAGTCCCTTCAAGAGATGTGTGCTTGTGATACACTTTCCTTTTCTTTATCATCTGTTAATTACCATGCATTGGCAAATATAATGAAATGGTTTCCCCATTTCATTCTCTACGGTTTTGATTTCAGAGCTATCCTTCTCCTAGACTGGTTACCATCCCAGGCTAGAGAGCCCAGTCTACCCTACTATTTAACTTATGGTTGGTAGGGAGAAAAGATGGGTTTACGCCGAATTAAGGTGTCGAATAAAGATAAAACAATTTTATAATTTTTAAAGTCTTTAAATTTTACGTACATGGGACACTGATGATAAAAAGCCGAAGACTCAAAAGTCTTCCACAGGAGTTAGCCTAAAGTCCGCCTGAAGAGCGGCTTCTAGACATAAAGATGTCTATTTATCATGGTGTTTTTACTATTCTAAAATGACTTAAAGCAATATCAAAAATTCATTTTCAAAGAAGTGATTGAAAAAAATTGAAAACAAAAACGCTTTATCTGTGGTAGATTATATCAACATATAATCCGTCCGGTGCTTTCTTAAAAACAGTCTCAGTACTTGGGAATTCTGTTTGTATCTGTACCTTTCCAGTGATCTACAAAAAAGAATTTAACTATTTTTAAAGACTAAATTCTTTGTTGTATCGAAGTTAGTTCCCAAGGATATTGTTCTGACTTTGAACTTAGCTTGTCAGTTCTACTTTCGGCGTCGATAGCCGTTACGCTACATTCACACGCTCAATTCACCTTAATCTTATAGAAATAAAAAAAATGTAATTAAATACTAATTACAGGAAAACAATAATCTTTGGACATTTTCGAACGTTAGGAAGTAAATGACATGATTGATTTGACCTTTCTACTATGCTTTCGACAAGAAAATATCTTGCATCATGTACAATGTCTATCCGGAAATTTTCCATAAGTGCAGGTCGATTTTGCTAACGTAGTATTGCACTCAATTTGAAAGTTAGGGTTTGATAGGATAAATAAAGACACAAAACAGTTATTTTCCAACTCGTTACTGTATTTCGAGCAAATGAGTTTAAAGACAAAGTTTATGTTCACAGTCGTAGCGTTGCAATTAAATTTCGATGATCAGTGAAAGCCTTATAGCACAGCCTTATATAATTTATTGAAGCTTTATAAACTGTAAAATTTAAATGGACAAGATGTATGGCCCAAACATAATATTGCTAAATCCTAGTGCCATCAAATAAGACCGTCATTTACTTCAAAGTGAAATTATATTGAACAATTTAACTATATAGTGATGTAATATGTTACACAGTGCAGTAATTTTAGTGTGATTTTCACTAAACAATGCAAATTTGAAACATTTTGTCTTATAATTTGTGCCAAACAGTATTATGGTGTTATATACACTCAAATCTATTTTTTATTTTTATTAATTATGATCTAACAATCCGTATTCATTGAGTAGACTTTTTTGTAACCTTACAATTTTTTTACACGTTTTTTACTTATTGAATACAGTAAAGAAAAAAATGCATATTTTTTCTTGTGGTGATTCGGATTTATAATTCTGGTTTGAATATATTTTCCATCCAATTTATCTAATACAAAAAAATTCAAATTTATTTAGATTTATTCTTGAAATCGTAAAACTTTGAAGTCATTTTGTAAGTAAAAACCTGTGGAAATTAAGTATTTCTATATATTTTTCAAACGATATTTAAAACCAAATGCTCAAAAATTTGTCAAAACTATGAAAGTAATTTTTGGCGTTAGTACTTTTCCTCTCAAACTCCAGCTTTCACTTTCTAAACAAAATAAAAAATTAAGCTGCCCCTAATTATCATTTAATATTAACAACAAAGACAAAAACTACCAAGAGTAATGAGGCCTTAGTCATCTTGAAAATATTCCCCTTAGGCGGTCATATACTAAAATCCTTTCCACTTATCTAAAACTTTTACAATGTCCCCTTTTTGGGGTTTCGCCACAGCTATCTCGTTGCGTTCTCCTTCGTTTCCTTTGCGTTCTGCAAATGTTTGCCATTCAAAAGTGATAAAGAAGAAATCTCAGGCAACCAAACGTAGACTTACGGGAGTTGACAGTGTCAGAGTATGAGAAGTTTTACGAAAATAAAATCCCTGTATGAAACACGAAGGATCTATTCGCTTCGTCATTGGGAATGTGACAAATACACAGTACACAAGGTACCTCATGGACGATTCACTCTTAACTGAATATGCGCCATTCTTTATCCATTGCTAGGTCAGCTGCTAAGAAAGCTGGTTGAATTTGTCATGCGAGAACAGTTTTCTTTCCAGAATCTATCTTACATATTTATATATTTGTCCATGCTTAGAATATTGCTGCCTCACATGGTCCGGTTCCCCTGCTATTTACCTTGAGCGCCTTGATAAAATACAAAGAAGAATCAGCAATGTTATTGGTCTTGATCTGGCATCTCGGCTTCAGTCCCTTTCCCACCGCCGTAGGGTTGCCTCTCTTCGTCTTTTCTATGAATACTTCCATGGTAATTGTTTGAACGAGCTCTTCGCTATATTACCTAAACTTTATGAATTTAAGCGTAGTACTAGAGAGGCGTCTCATCAATTTAGATTTGAGCTGTCTAGACGTTTCTTTTCTCGTACTTTTCGCTTCCAGCCCTATGCTTTCCAGCCAACTTTTAAAATATTCAAATGTAATGTCAATCGCTATCTACTGTCCGCTTAAGTACTCTTTTTTTTCTTCCCCGCTGATTATTAATGCTTCTGTTCTTAATTCTTCTACACCCTGTAATCCCTTGTGTCTTAGTGGCTTTATGGGGTGATACTAATTAAAACCAAAAAAGAAAAAAAGTAACGTTCTCCTCTGATTGGGTGACAAGTTACATTCAATTTACACTACTTGGAACTACAATAATCAACAACAATTTCCATGTTTCAAAACATTCTACAAAGTTCGCCATTCATCTTTCCTCTTGTCTAAGGTTTGCTTCTTTTTCAACAGCGGTAACTAGTGGTTGTCATACCAAAGGGAACGCAATGGTTTCTGTCCCCTCAAAATAAATATGCATGAAATGTGAATAACCTACTCGCTTGGTCCATGTGAATGCAACAAGCACACAATACATAAGCTGAAATAATTGGCGTTTCATTACCGACTGAATAAGAGTGATTCTTCATACATGCGCAGTAGGGTATCCTCTCATTGTTTTACGAGACGTATCAAGGCTGCGTAACCGATTCTCGTGAAATTAAATATAAATTGTTTATTAGACTGTCGTCGTATTGGAAACGTGACTAATTGGTATGTTTTTTTGTTGTTTTTTTTATGTAACAGAGAAAAGATACTAATGAATCCGTCCATGATGGAAACCTTAAGATATTATATCAGCCTGCTTGATCTCCTGGCTGCGTGTGCCGAGGTAAGTCAATTGAATATGGAGACGAAGGAATTCTAAATTAATTAACGTCGGGGTGAGAAAACATTTAAAATGGGGATTTCTTTTTGCTGTTATTTCTTGCCTCTAAATTCATTTGCTTTTCATTGCAACTATTTGGGTCGTCTGTTTGCAAAAACATTGGAAAAACCAGGTGGATTAAAAAAAACGACGTAAACCTAATATAAACAACATCAATAAAATTAACGCGAATAAAAACAAAATAAATATAAACAATGTAAATAAAAATAAACAACGTAATTACATTAAACAACGTACATAAAATAAACAAGTTAAGTAAAATAAACAATGTAAATAAAAATAATCAATGTAAATAAAAAATAAACAGCGTTTTACGAGACGTAAATAAGCCACGTAAATAAAAGTAAACAATGTAAATAAATATAAACAATCAAAGTCAAATAAAAAGAGCGTAAATAAAATAAACAACGTAAATAAAAAATAAACAATGTAAATAAAAAATAAACAATGTAATTAAAAATAAACAATGTAAATAAAAAATAAACAGCGTTTTACGAGACGTAAATAAGCCACGTAAATAAAAGCAAACAATGTAAATAAATATAAATATCAAAGTCAAATAAAAAGAGCGTAAATAAAATAAACAACGTAAATAAAAAAATAAACAATGTAAATAAAAAATAAACAATGTAAATAAAAAAAACAATGTAAATAAAAAAATAAACAGCGTTTTACGAGACGTAAATAAGCCACGTAAATAAAAGTAAACAATGTAAATAAATATAAAAAAAATCAAATAAAAAGAACATAAATAAAATAAACAGCGTAAATAAAAAATAAACAATGTAAATAAAAAATAAATAATGTAAATAAAAAATAACAGCGTTTTACGAGACGTAAATAAGCCACGTAAATAAAAGTAAACAATGTAAATAAATATAAACAATCAAAGTCAAATAAAAAGAGCGTAAATAAAATAAACAACGTATATGAAAATTAAACAACCAAAATAAAAATAGGTAATGTAAATAAAAATAAACACCGTAAATAAAATAAACTATGTAACTAATAAACAACGTAAATAAATATAAACAACGTACATGAAATAAAAGCAACGTAAATAAAAAATATACAATGTAAACTAAAACTTCTGTCAATATTTCTGAGATGAGGTATTGGAACTATTTGCACTATTTACATTGTTGTTTATTTTTTATGAATGTTTTAATCTCCTATTTACACTATTTACATTGTTCGGACTGTTGTCCTCATCTTTACTGTCACATTCAGATCGTTTCTGTCACATACGCTCTGTCCTTCTTCAGGTGATATTAGTTGAAATTTCGAATGGAACTTTTTATTAAGTCTCACGGGAGGTAAAGTGTTCTAATTACAGGTATCATGCCTTTGGATATCTCACTTTGGAAAGTTATCAAGGCGCATAAACTGAGATATCCAAAGGCATCTACCTCCCGTGTACTAAATAAAGAGGTCGGTTCGAAATTCCAACAAATATCACCTGAAGAAGGCCGAAGAGTACAACGGCCGAAATAGTGTCAATAATTTCTCATTGATTTCGAACAAACGTTAGTTCTTTTGATGAATATAAATGTTCAGTGATTTATTTGTATTTTTCGGAGCATATCTGTGCTTTGGTTTTGCTGCCAAACCAAATTGACATTGTTCAGAGTGTCACATTCACGATGTTTTGACTGTTGCACGCTTCGGCCTTCTTCAGGTGATATTAGCTGGAAATTTGATTCGAACCCTTTATTTAATCCCACGGGGGTAAATTGTTGTAGTGCAAATGAGACCCGAGTTAGACGGGTTTCAGACACACGGGCGAGAAGACAGAATGTGTCATTTATTTATTTAGATTAGTGAAAGCGATAGAGAAAATCTTAAAAGGATACAATGGAAATTATTTTACTATAGAAATGCACTTATTCAACAAGCATCAAAACTTTTTATTAACTTTTACAATTAATCATAAATAATTACATAGCAGTTGGTAAAACCCTTTATAGAAATTCTGTGAGTATAGAAACATATTGGATTTTGACGGTTCTTCAGTCTTTCCATTATATTCCATTGTCTGCTGGAACGGTGACATCCCTTAACAGTTCTTTCATTCGCTTACGATGACAAGAATTGGTCTTTGGCATTGAATTGTGGAATTTCAGAATCAAAGAGAATCACAGAGAAATTTAGATTTTTTATCTATTTTTATTATTTTCGTCTTTTATCTCAAGCAAATCTTATGCCGTACTTCAAAGATCCCAAGTGGGTCATAAATGATCCTGGGTATTCTCATTTCTTCACCTCTTGATATCAATGAAACCTTTCTCTGAATTCTGGCTGTCTCAAGCTGTACTCTTTTCTTAAGCGTCTCTATTCGAATCACAGTTCCAATTTTACTCAGACATTTTTAGATTTTACCCGTTACTGTTCCAGGGCGGCGGGCATACAAAACCATAAGGACAACTCAGTCCTCACAAGCGTATTATCTTCTGTTTCAAATTTTGATAACTTCCCCTTCTTCATTTTTTTCTATCTACGCTTATGTCCTTAATACAGCAACATCGATGATCCAACAATATTTGTCTTCCTCCTGGATAGTAACTACTAGCAGGGATGTAACAGTAAGAGATAGATCAAATATCGACCATCATAAAGACTGAAAAATAAAATTAACAAAGATTATTGTTTAAGGTTGACGGACACGCATGTCTTAATTAGTTTTTTTGTTGTTTTTTTTTACAAATTGGTCAAACCCAAACTCAAGCAAAAACATTGTTTTCAATCGTTATGAGTCTACCGATTGAATAGAATTTTATTATAAACAATTGTCTTGTAAATGGAATTTTTAAAGCATTCTGAATGTAAAAATAAAGAAAAAAGTGTGCAAGACAATAAGAAACACTACCTGCCAAAAAAAAGTGAAGTTTTGTTGAAATCGGTTGAAAAATGTAGGAAATCCGATCCCATATATAAATGAACACACACACAAACAACTAACCTGGGTTTTATAATAAGTATAACTCAATAACTCGATATTAATAAGTATAACTTGATATGAGTTGTCCCCCTTTTATTAATGCCGCTTAATTGTGTTTTCAAATTGATTTTGTGCAAAAACAATTGTGTTTTTCCAATTTTTGGCGCTGTCAGAACCATCGCAAGGTAATTTTACTCAGTCCTGTGAAGTTTTGTTGAAATCGGTTGAAAAATGTAGGAAATCTGATCCAATATATAAACGTACAGACACACACACACACAATCTGCGTTTTATAATAAGTAAGATTATTATTATTATTAATAATAATAATAATAATAATAATATTTTAAAAATTGTTTGACGTAACTCTTCCACTATTTTGCAACACTTAGAGAAGGGCGTGTTTTACGAAAATAAAACTGAGGAAACTGTTTTTATTTTGAAATATTACATTTCACGTGGAACAACGCCAAACGCGGGTGGGAAAAGGTTGGTCGTCACTGACTATCCTACACCTAGTTAATCTGGTTCACGGCCTGTTCATTCATTACAATTTACTCATACACCACAAGAACTCATCGCCATTTAATCCAAAACATGCCATAATACCGCATATTCACAGGGATCCTACTAAAACACCGATGACTTGAAAATATATACAATTATTTTTTTATTTTTTATAACACGGCCGGTCCAGCTCGATCCGACGTCCTTCCGCAGTACTGCCACCGGTCAACTGATTGTTATCTGCTGACCACTACGTCCCTTCATCTGCTATGCACCACGTTGTGTTCTTTGATCAGAGAGCAGTGAAGATCGAATTTTCGTCCGTACTTAAGTGCTGAATTGATTTGTAGCGGAACCGTGCTACGAGAGGACAAAGAAGGCTTCCGCTGGCGAGAATAAAAAAATTCATAACAAATACCGAAGAAAGTCGTGGGGTTAATTTTCAGCTGATTTATATAGTCGTTGATCCAACAAAATTAACCCTTCCCGTTAAACTCTCTATCGTAACACTGTCTTTTGCTTCTAAAACTTGGAGCGTGTCAAACATTCACACAAGAAGGTCGTCGGGATTTCTCTTCACAGCAGGTCACGTGGAGTTCAGCAGCTCCACCACTGCTGTCTCTTTTCGTATGTGTCTCTCGCTTCAATTGCTGGCCTCGAATATGTATTTCGTCCGACTCATACTGCACCTCAAACTCATTAATTAGCTATCAATTATTTTCTCCAACCTTGGAGATACGACACCGACCCTCAAACAAAGCGGGCAGCTATTCACTAACAATACATTCCTTGACAAACAAACTTTGTTTAACATTCCTTTCGACAATCGGCCAATTATCCAAAACAATAATTTTTCGTTAACAAACTTTGGAGTTTAAAAATTATCTCTATTTTCTCTGACGTCAATGAATCCATTTTGTTGACGACCTTCAAAATGACCGATTAGATTTTAGATGGATAGATCAATAATGAACAGTACTGAGGAGGACAATTTTTGGATTTTTTTGTACCTTGATGTTGCCAGGGATTTTGTTGGTGTATTTTTCCTCCTTTTCTTAATCAAACCGATGGCATCTGTTACCACTACTATTGTTGTGGTCATCTTGCTCCACTTTCTCTCAATTATTATTATTGAGTTTTCACACCTGCAGTAACTTAGGATTTACACGACAAAACTCTATCCTACTTTAGTATTTCAACTTGCATTTACAATTAATTTAGTCTTTTCACTGTGATTTTCAGAATCATTCCAATGCGAATGTCACAACTGACACTCATCTTCCATAATTTCTTCTGTTCTCAAACGAGGTCCTGGCACTTATCTAGTAATTTGCTTCCTTTTCACTTTTACTCTCTGATCAGCTGAAACAGAGAAAGCCACAATCTAACAGATTTTTCTTTTCTCCTTGGAGATTGGATCCATTCTTCCGGTCTGCGTTGGATCAACAATTTGAATCTCAATGAATTTGGGATTTTTCAAAGATGTACTGATTTTTGTACACACAATTGGTCAAATTTCGGTCACTTTGGCAGGGCGGAAGGCGAGTTAGCGCCATCTCGGTCACTTTGGCAGGGTGGAAGGTGAGTTAGCGCCATCTCGGTCGATTTGGCAGGGCGGAAGGCGAGTTAGTGCCATCTCGGTCACTTTGGCAGGGTGGAAGGCGAGTTAGCGCCATCTCGGTCACTTTGGCAGGGCGGAAGGCGAGTTAGTGCCATCTCGTTGACCAAAGATTAAAAAAGACAACAACAATGAATGGTTTTATCTTCTCAAAAAAAGACAATGAAGTTGTAGACTTCTTTTATGTGAAAGTTGATTTTTTTAGATTGATGCCAAAGAGAGGGAATGTGGTAAATGTCAAAACAGAAAGTGTTTAGGAAAAGCTTTTGTCGACAATGGCAATGCTCTAGAGAGATTTGAACATTCACAGGATGCTGGTTATTAAAGATTTGCATTTTACAAACTGAATAAAATTAAAATGATTACAATGGAAAATTTGAAATCAGCTAAATAATTTTTTAAATATTTTCGATCTACTCATATAGGAAAACTTTCAAATGAAAACATCTCGGAACCATTATTTTCCATAAATCTCTTGTCATCGTATTTAATATTGTTTTGTAAAATTCGCGAAGACTAAACCAGTTACAACAGTGGATCTCAACCAGGCGTGGATTTACACCTAGGTGATTGAATTTCAGGGTTTTCAATGTTGGAGAGTCTTTTATTTTTTCGCAAGTTTCTCATTGTCTATTCATCAGAATAAAATCAATTTAAATACCCTGACTTTTTAGTGAAGATTTTGTTTTTTGAATTCCAATACCCTGACATTCTATTGGACTATTCTGTTTATTGAAGTGTGCTTCAGTTATTTATATAATAATTAGTTATGAATCAAAACAAATTACTGTAAATGTATTCAAATTACAAAATCCAACAACATTTTTTATTGCTATTAAATTTGTAAAACTTTTCTATAAAAATAATGCTTATAAACGTATATCTACTGAACGTGTATGTACTAATATGGAAAAGAATTGAGATTTTCAATAATGCACTTTTTGAGTTGGACAATCTTGCAAAATATGGAATGACATTCTGATTTATATTGAAAAGGGTGTATTGGACAAAAAATGTTGGAAACCACTGAATTAGAAGGATGGCATTCAAGCATAATCTGTATAGTTCATCATCCCAATTTAGGACGTGTTATTAAGCTAATTAAAAGACAAGAACAAGAGATGAGATTCGAACTACAAATGTATTTCATATGCTGATTATCGAAAAGGAAGAATAGTTCAAAGAAATCGTTAGAAATTTCTTTTTATTTGAAAAGTAAAACAATATAATGCTTTCAGACGGTATATGCTAGAACTTAGAAGATTAAATAAATGGAAATTTAATTTACCACTTTCTTTGTTGGGCGAGTTGTCGCCCTTTTATTTTTCAGGGGAGTGAACGCCAACTCGACAACTCACATTCATCGTTCACTCTCTCCACCCAGCCATATTTATTTTGTATTCTTTCTTTCTACACAGTATGAATTTGTTTTTCTCGTTTGGATATTTATCTTAATCGCTGTGTAGCTTTCGTCTTTGATATTATTATTATTATTATTATTATTATTATTGTATGCAATTTTTAAACAATTAAAGAATACAGGCATACAGTCGAAAACATTGTTAAGCATTTCTGTATTTGATTACTTCTTTGTACTATTATCTTTTATTATTATTATTATTATTACACTATTTACATTGTTCAGACTGTTGTCCACATTTTTTTTTTTTTTTTTTTTTGCTATATTCACGAAGTTTCTGACGTTGTACGTTCCGGCCTTCTTCAGGTGATTGCAATTTCGAACTGAACCCTTTTGTCCATCGGGGTAGAGTGTTCTAGTATCACGTGCCATTCCTCTTCCGGATGTTTCAGTTACCTCCCTTTAACTCAACTCTCCATTTTTTGTTCACCACTGCCGTGGCCAGTTATTAAAGAACGTAAATAGTGTAAATAATTACAATACCTCATCTCAGAAATATAGACAAATATAATTATTATTATCATTATTATTATTATTTTTATCTTTATCATTATGAATTATTATTGTTGTCATTATTATTATTATTATCATCGAGATACTTGCATACAATTTTTAAACTAAGAAAATAGACATACTGACGAAAACATTATTAAACATTGTCTTTTCATGTCTTTTTTTTTCTTAAATCATGTTCTTCTCTAAATCTTGCAAAATATTGGAAGAGTTACGTCAATCAATTTGTTTATTATTATTATTATTATTATTATTATTATTATTTGTGCAGGGCGAAAACATGTTTATTGAGTCCCTATGTCAGACTATCCTACCATTTGATGACTTATTGTGGATACTAAACAACCAGCGGATTGATAATTGTCTGAAGAAGCCTTTTCTCCGCTGCCTGCACCATGTTTACATGAAAAATTCTGTGGCTGTAGTGGAAACAGGAATCGGAGAATTGCCTCACGACACGTACGTAGCAATAATTTCTCTTTCATAACGGTCGTAGAATGACAATCTGAGCTATTGGAGTAAAAATGAAATAAATACTTGTCACAAAATAAGTGATTATTAACAATGCTTCATCTAATAATATTAATAATAAAATCGCAGATTATAATCAATATTAGTACAGTATATTATATCGAGGAAAGAGGCTATACAGAATTTAACAACCACAAGACATAACTGACGATTTCATTGATTCGTTTTTTATGGTTTGTCAGCCCTTTCTGGGTTATTTAAAGCTGAATCATATTTTGAATTGTAAGAATAATTCTTTTTTGGAGTGAATATAGCATTAAAAAATTTCAAGAATGACAATGTCTTTTCCATATGAAATTTCTACTATTTAACCCATAGTTGGTGGAAGAATCTAGATTCATAACTTTCCCAAGGGTATTTACGCGTAAGTAAATATAAGGAACTCGAGTGGAATTCGAACTCTGCTCTCCAATTTCTCGTTCCGAACTTCTGTCCGTTACACCACCCGCACATCCACAAGGAAAGAAGAGCGGAAGTAGGGAAACGAGTTTTTTTTTTTTCTGAATGGACGACAGAACAGAGACAAGTATGGATATTTAAAACGTCAAAAGTTACCTAGAGCAATAAAAGACAAGACGTAGTGGAGAGTTATGATCCCCCACGTCCAGAAAGGACAAGGCATATAGAAAAAGAATATAAGTAGAGTAGTACGAGGCGGCGTAATGGTTACCAGCGAGGAAAATGAAATCGGCAAAACGAGTTCGAATTTCAGCTGTTTTCAGTTGTTTCTGTCCACTTAACAGAAATGCTCTTAGGAGACACATTAATCTACATCTCTTTGCTTTCTGTGACATCAGCATATGGCTACATAGCGTTTAAACTCCGGTCCCATATCATCACCGAAGCTAAACCTGGTCAGTACTTAAATGGGTGACCTCTTGTTAATGTCAGGTGCTTCAGGCTTGGATGTGAGGGTGATGTAATGGTTAACGGCTCGATTTTTTAATCGGAGGGCCGAGTTCCAATTCCCGTTCAGATCGTTATAGTCCTTTACGCTCAAATGCCCTTGGGAAATGTATGAATCTGCCTCTTCTCCCCTCAACTATGGGTTAATTAGTAATACTTCTATAACTAAATCATTATTATCCCCACTCAATTCTTACAATCTAAAATTATTTTCAGGTTTTAAATATCTTGCAAAGGTTTGATACGCCGTAAAAACGAATCAATCCATAAATTTAATGAATTCTTTCTTTTTTTATTTATCTATTTCTATTATGTATACATTCGTACTTGCCTTTTCCTACTAAAATTAAACAGCGTTACTGCTATAGCCTTTTCTTACGTCTTTCCACTCAGTCAAAACGAAAGTGTCCATTATTTATCGGAGGTAATGCCAGGGCGTCACGCAAGTGTAAAGGGAGTAACAGCCAGAATTATAATATGGTGATCATAAAATCATTTCTTATTGACTTTTAGTGTAGTGGATAATGACTCGGAATTGTTAATCGGAGAGCCGAATTCCAATTCCACTTAGGTTCGTTATATTCATTTACGCGCAAATACCATTGGGAAAAGTAGGAATCCATCTCTTTTCCCCCCAGTTATGAGTTAAGTAGTTAAACGTATATCCCTAAATCATTATTATCTAAAAAAAAAAAAAAAAAAAAAAAAAGAAATTTTTACAACCTAAAATATTTTCTGGTTTTAAATCACCTGCAAATGGTTGATAAGCCGTATAAGTAGTGGCCGTAAGTCTGAAAGAAAGAAAGAAAGGAAGGAAGGGAAGGAAGGAAAGAAAGAAAGAAAGAAAGAAAGAAAGAAAGAAAGAAAAAGGAAGGAAGGAAGATAGAGGATGCGATAACGCCATCTGGCGCCTAACGTCTGCTTCAGTGAAATGAAAAACCTTGTCAGTTTTGAATCTTTACATTTGTACGCCCTTATGAATTTAAGTAATGACCAGCATTCATAGTTACGATTGTCGTGGTAATATTTTGTTAAAGTTGTTAAGCTTAATTATTTAACGATGCAAAATGGGAATTTCTACTAATATTTTATAGACGTGGATGTCACAAGGAACGTATTCCGTCATCAAATTATAATCAGAATATTTAAAACATAAGAAAACCGTGAAATTTTCATGGGTACTGTTAATTTTACCTTATTCTCTTTAATAAATCTGTATCATTTCTAGTTCAAAGATTATAAGACAAATCCTTGGTTAAATATTTGTATATATTGTATTCAAGGTAAGTAAAAGAAATCCACTACATTTTTTAATACTTCGTCCTTTCTTTTGCCGCAGTGATTTGTGGGAATATTTATCGAACGTATCAGTCGACATGAATCGGCTGACAGACAGCATTAAGGAAGACCCAGACAAAATCGCCATTCACCTAAAAACTGCTCCGGAGAAAAGGTGAGTTTAAAGCAATAATCCATGTCTGCAAACGTAATGCTTTTATGATCGAATCTTTAGATAAATTTGAAGATTGACAAATTCATCGGTGATAGTGCCGTTTGGGTTTAAAGTAGGAAGCTACACTGAAATTACTTAGCTACACTAAGATTTAAAATGAATTTTAAAAAATGAAAAATATTTCTTAGAGCTTTTATTTTAGTTCTAATTTCAAGCTAATAGATTAAATTTAATATTTCCATGCGAAATACTTTTCTGTATTTCAAAACAAATTTAAATTGACGGGAAGGAGTTTTCGTTTTGAAATCAATAATATCACTGATTTTAGCGCAATTTTTAGCCTTCCGTCATCGCAATGTAATTCTCTTTATTAAAAAAAATCTTTTAAAAATGACGTACTTTTCTGAAACGTTATTTGAGGAATATTAGCTGATTTAAAGTTTAATTAATCTGATTTGAAATAAATATTAATTTAAATTTAAAATTATTGCAGAAATGCATTTTTAACACGGCGATAGCTGTTTGTCTTAGATATTGACAGGTTCACTGTTTGAATGCCTGACGGAAGTTTATCTAATGTTTTTCTATGGTGGACATATCTGTAAAATTTTCTTGGGAATATAACGTGAGCGCCTTTTTATATAATTTTGAACTACCCAGTAATATTAAAAAATTAGTAAAATATTCTCTCATAATCTAATACTTCGGCATTAAATTTACTACAGTTATATTCTGATAATATCGTGTATTGAAGTCCGTATTTACAAAAATCGACACGTTTATACACACACACACACACACAAATCAAAATTCTTTTTAAAATACTGGTGTTCGATGAATTGTGCTAAGCTTTTACATTTATGATTAATATAGTTTTTATTTAATAACATCACCTATCGGAAACAAAATAGTATAGAAATTTAAAAATAAAAACTTTATAAATTATTGTAATTAAAATTTTTTAAAATATTGAAATTATTCTTCTAAAAAATTCATTATTCATCGATTTTTTTTCTGAAGAAAATCGTGTTCATAATATATCTATATTCGCGAAAGTAATTAAAAGCTTTTCTAATTAAATAATTAAATAATGTCTTGTTTTATTGCATTTTTTTCATTTCATTCAGAAGAGATTTTCGGTAACTGGTGTTCCTGTTTTACAAAAACATATTGATGATTTAAATTCTCCTGCAATTCTGCTTTTAACTAATATTAACATTAAGTGGCACAAAATTTAATTTCGTAAAATTAAATAAGTGTGGATAACAGATGTAAAAACGAATATTTTTAACATGATTTTCTTAAAAAGTAATTTTTGAAATAATTTAACTCATTTATGAATAAGTCCTGAAAGTTTCATTAAAATATGACAATTATTTTATTTTTGCAAGAATTTCCAAATCAATATGTTTTTCAACGCAAGAAAGGCGGTAAAATTTCCTATACTAATCTTTGGCGACCGCGCTGACGCAAAACAAAATTTTTAAAGAAAATTTCAAACATTCTAAAAAAGACGGAGAATATAATTTAATTATAAAAAAAATGCTCTTAATAATGACATAAAGATTATATTTTTATTAAGTCTGGGACATTTTCTCATCGTGGTATGCAATTTTTTTAACAAATCATTGGAAGTGCCTAGGTTAAACCCATCCACGTTTGTAAAGGCGAGCAACAGCTCTTAACCTTAGACATAATGAATATCCATTCACCAGTTTCTAAAACCTAACAATAAAAGTTTAAACAGTTACAATAAATGAACTTATCGTTTGGGACTAACTAGATTAGCGTTAAATTAAAATTTGTTATCCCCAAAAAACACACACTATCTATCTATCTATCTATCTATCTATATATATATATATATATATATATATATATATATATATATATATATATATATATATATATATATCAAGGCGAATAACTAACAAAATTATCTGTCTATATTTCTGAGATGAGGTATTATGTACACTATTTGCATTATTCGGACTATTGTCCTCATCTTTGTTGCCATATTTATCACAACTTTTCGGCCGTTAAAGACACATGGCACAGTGGATAAAAGGCGTTGGTTAGACCCAATGATAGGACCCAAAGAGTTGTAAGTTCAATACCTGGTTAAGGCAGTGGAGAACTTGGAGAGGTGAATTAACAGGAGATAACTGATAACTGACATCCATTAGACATGGCACGTGGATCTAGAACAGTCTACCCCAGTGAGCGAAATAAAGGGTTTAGTTCGACATTCCAACTACCTGAAGAAGGCCGGAGCGTACAACGGCCGAATCTTTGTGACAAATATAGCAACAAAGATGAGGACAATCGTCCGAATAATATAAATAGTGTAACAAAATTATTAACACTTGATTTGGATATTTTCAGTGTATTAACAATTACCTTTTTCTTAATTCTATATCACTAATAGCGGCGCTGCAAGTGCTCCAGATTTTGAATCCTCGGCCTACGGGACTGTCCTCTACATTCTGGAAGGGGTCATGCCATTTCTTACAACATTTTACAAACACTTCTACTTCCCGGACAATGATGCGTTCGGAAATGAAGTGGACGATACTGATCATCTGGCCAAAGCTGTCGTGGTGAGTTATCCTTTATTATCATTTAATATCTTTAATCTTTCTATCCTTTTTCATTTGATTACATATGCATAATTATGTCTACTCTTCATACAATTCGTGAATGATATTTCGTAACCTCAATTTCAAATTCTACACAGTTCGTTAACAAATGGTTAAAAAATCTCTTTTTTTAATCATTTCACTCCAAGCTAGACAATAAAGTCACTAATATGCGAGGGGTAACTAAGTGTGAGAGATTATGAAGGAAAAATTATTACGAGTGAACAATAAAAGAACAGGAATTAAAAAGACAGATAATAATGTCCTTGGAGGGCTGAGGCGTGTGTCACGCCTTTCCTCTTACCCTTTATCGGCTGACTGTACTTCCTCTCTGTAAGGAACGTAAGAAGGCGATTGAGGCCTTGCTCTCTTCCCTCTTGTGGGGTGGTCGCAAGGATCACGTCAACAGAGGTGCCTGTGCCCAAAGTCCATGTCATTTAGTGGACGTTGGGAATGCCACACTTGGCAGGTCACTAACACGCCTCGAGGTTGGCCTTCCTATGCCGCATGTTAACAGAGGATTCGGTCTTGAAGGGGGGTGTGAGGGCTGTATTCCCTCACCTTACCATCACTATTCTTGTTTCTATACCCCCAGGATCAGTCTGATTTCCTCCTGGATTGTCGATCGGCCTTGAGGGTCATTCCTCGGTCCACTGACCTTTCTCGGTCTAGGAGAGTCTTCTTTCACGAATTAGGAGTTTTTATTTTATTTAACGGATTTGTTTTTTTGTTGTTGTTTTTTATTTCATTTAACTGGTTTGATTTTTAAAAGAATCAGTTTTAAATTTATATGACGAAATATCACTGTTTTTTTGTTCCGGAAATTGTAAAATGAGCTTTTGTTAAAGTAAACGGCGAGGAGGGGGGCATGAAAAATCATCAATCAAAAGGGGGCAATAAATAGAAAAAGGTTGAGGACTACTGCTGTATGGTATATAGATGTTACCAAAACACTTCATTCGCCAGTTATCTATCTATATCTATCTATCTATATATATATATATATATATATATATATATATATATATATATATATATATATATATATATATATATATCTACCTATATTTATATCTATCTATATATCTATATCTATCTACCTATATTTATATCTATCTATATATCTTTATCTATCTATGTATATATATATATTATCTATCTATCTATCTTACTATATATATTATCTATCTATCTATCTATCTATCTATATATATATATATATATATATATATATATATATATATATATCCTTATCTATATATCGATATATCTATCTATGTATATATATATATTATCTATCTATCTATCTTATTATATATTATCTATCTATCTATCTATCTATATATATATATATATATATATATATATATATATATATATATCCTTATCTATATATCGATATATTTATATCTATCTATATCTCTATCAATATCTATATAGCTATCTATATTGTTATGTATCTCTCTCTATATAAATACATATCTCTCTATATCTCTATCTATCCATAACTTTATCTATATATCTCTATATTCCTATTTATCTATATCGCTATGTATCTGTATCTATCTATGTTTCGTTTTATACCATGAATAGTGCTTTAACAATCATGGAATTTTCGAACCTAATCTGGTATTGCACTGAGAAGAGATTAATACTGCGAAAAATGTTCATTTGTCATTTGAGATTAAATTAAAATTGAAGTTTTTATCTGAACAATTCAGGGTTTTCGGACATAATCTCGAACTACTTGTCATATGATTTTTAGAGTATGTAACCTGCCAAAAATTACGTTTAGTTTTTTTTTAATAAGTTCAGCCCAAGTAAAGTGATAATGTCACTAAGACGCAACAGGATACAGGAAGAGAAAGAGAATACAATAAACTCGAGAAGAAACCAGAAACTAAAATTTAAACAGGGGATTAAACTTTACTCCTGTTCAAAAAACCGGGGAGGAGCCTGAACCGGGTGATAGGAAAACCTATCGATTCGTAAATGCCATGAACGGCAAAATGCTTACAGGTGCAAACAAAATATTCGTTTAATAAGAATATATTTCTATTCTTTTTAATAATTCTATTATTTTCTTTTCAGATGTTTTGCGAAGTTATTGGACCATTACTCTACAAACCAGAACATATGAAAAATATGGTTGCCTGTATCACATCTGTGGTACCGGCGTCCAATATGCCAAACTCGGTAAGTTATTTTTCACATCATCAATCAACAAAGTTTTATTCTTTGCTAGTTATATCTAAAATCTACTCAATGTTATTTCATGAAATATATACAGGTTGGCCTGAAAATTGCATAATCCTAATACGACTTTAGAAATACATTTATATTTCCGCTATTTTGAAAATTAGAGATTTTGAATTAACTATCAGGTAGGAAACCAAAGTTGGTATTAACAAACAAAATAGCTGAATTTAATGAAACCCTCTTAATGTGTCAATATGTAACAATACATATAGCTGTTCTGAATCACAAACTTAAAAAAAAACATCAGCTCAAATACAGCTTTATTAGTCAAAGTATGCGTTATTACATTCAGCCGTCCTGAGTATAACGATAAACTACATCTGGCAGCGAGATATCTGGAGTTTTTGAAGGGGCGTGGAACCACCTCAAAATTGCAGTTGTACCCAGGTTCACCCTGACCCTGGGTGGTAGCACCTGTTAGGGCTTCAGCCATTGGAAAACAATCCCCAAGCTGGGGTCAAAATATGATAAAAGCTGAAAAAAATTATTAGTAAAAATACCAGCGATATATTTTCGTAAGGAAAAGAAAATTACCAGCAATGCATTTCTGTAAGGAAAAAAAATATTGCCAACAATACATTTCTGTAAGGAAAAGAAAATTACCAGGAATGCATTTCGGTAAGGATAAAAATATTACCAGCAATACATTTCGATAAGAAAAAGATTGCCAATTAAGAAAAAAATTACATGCAATACATTTCTATAAAAGAAATTACTAATGCTCCCAAGAAAATTAAATTTTGCCATTAAATAACCCATGAGGAGTTGATATGCCACTAAAGAAACAGGCAATCTTATATTTAGTACAATGTTGGTAAAAAAGACTGCCAGTGGAATTTATTCAGTTACAATAAAATCTGCATCATAGGTGTCGATAAATAGTCAGAACGTTTTTTCCTAATTGGTACACATTGTTGTACTTCTTCCTGGTATGTCTAAGTTTCGACAAAAAAAAGTGGTTATCGATAAAAAAAAATAGTTTCGATAAATCAGAAGAGAGAACAGTCTTAATGTTCAACTGCGTCAGGTTTGACTCATTTCTGTGTGGATTATGAGTTCTTGTGTCATTTTGCAGCAGTATTGACCATTTCTACCCATTTCTGAACAACTGTTAACAACTTTTGATGCATTGATACCAAATCACTATAATAAAATGCTACTGTGAAGTTTCGACCAGGTTGTAAAAAGCGTTAATGGATTACTCCATTTCATTATCACCAAAATACCAGCATTTTTACGAGTAAATATTTGATTTTGCGAAGGTGGGGAGCACGGTCTTTGGCTCAAAGAAATCTACATTATCATACAGAATAGGACCCATTACAGGATATTTACACGGGAAACGATTTCACATATATTTCACTGTTGTTGCTGAGGTGCAAGAGTGGCAAAAGTCTCTTATCTTCACGTTCATGATTATTTTTATTTTATTTATTTTTTATTTATTTATTTATTTTATTTTATTTTTATTTATTTATTTTTTTATTTTTATTTTTTTGCTAGTGCATTAATGTAGGACTTCATAAAACTCGATGGTAACTATATAAAAATGTTTCACCGTTCTGCTGGTAACGTATACACAAGGTTTCTTTTTTAGTGAGATGTTTACCAAATTTTAATTGATTTGGTGGTTTTAAATGAAAGGTCTTCAGGTTTTTGCATTCTTAGCGTACGTCCGTTATGTTTTGAGAAATAAGCCTTGTTTTTTATGTACATTGTTCAGACCGCCGTCGCCATCTTTATTGCCATATTCACGACGTTTCGGTCGTATACAAAACCTCAGCTCAGAAATATAGACAAGCCTTGTTTTCTTGAGACTTTCCGATGGCAAAAATAGAAATACACATTATATTAACATATCACAAATAAACAATGTATTTACTTACTTGATTTGTCTTTTAGAAAAAAGCATCTATAAAGACAACTTAAATTATTTACATTATTCGGGCTGTTATCCTCATCTTCATTGCCATATTCACAACGTTTCGGCCGTTGTACGTTCCGTCCATCAAGGACACATGGCCTAATGAATAAATGCGATAGTTAGATCCAGTGACTAGACCCAAAGAGTTGTGAGTTCAATACCAGGCTACAGCAGTGGTGAACCAAAATTTGGAGAGTTGAGTTAAAGGGAAATAACTAAAACATCCAGAAGAGGATGGCACGTGGAACTGGAACAATTTACAAAGTTGGACGAAATAAAGGGTTCGATTCGAAATTCCAATCACCTGAAGAAGGCCAGAGCGTACAACGACCGAAATGTTGTGAATATGGCAATGAAGATGAGGATAACAGTCCAAATAATGTAAGTAACCATAATACCTCATCTCAGAGATACAGACAGACAATAGACAAATGTAGTATTTGAATTCGTTTAGTAATGCCCCTTTCTTGTCTGAGTAGGGAAGAAAATATATGTTTTATATGAATTCGACTTGTAGGATTAAAGTGAGTATTAGTGTATTAATGAAAGTCGAATTGAAAAATGTCTTTCTTACTCTTACCAACTATCAATTAAGCTTTGATGTTGGGTAGTATCTTTCGACTGACTTCTGCACTATTTTTCGCTATGACGTTAAGTGTCCTTTTAGAAAATCGGCCTCCATAAAAGTGAACTGGATAGATGTATATTTTAAATTTCTTTTTTATGCTTTTAATGAATGAATGATGTGTAATAGGTATCGGCTCAAAATGAGAACTCGGAAAACAGAGTTCGAATTCACGTCGAGTTAGTTACATTCACTTAAGCACAAATACCCATTTCTTCTTCTCTCAGCTATGGGTTGAATAGTATGGGTCCCAACTATGGGCAAATAGTTACCCCCACCCCACCAACTGGATGAAAATACTATAAAAGTATAAAAATACATTTCTATTATAGAAATATCAGAAATATTTTTTCATACTAAAAATATTACCAGTAATTTATTTTTGTAAAAAAAAAAAAGAAAATAAAAGATTACCTGCAATAGAAAAATAAAATAAAATTGACAGCAATACATTTTTGTAAAAGAAATTACTAATGCTCACAAGAAAATTCAATTTCGGCGTTTAAATGATACATAAGGAGTTGATATGTCGCTAAACAAAAAACAAAACCTTTCGGACATTATTTGTAGGTTTGACCCCAGATCAGATCATTACATTTATTGTGGTATTGATCTTTTTTTTTTTTTTTTTTTTTTTTTTTTTTTCGCAGGAATCTGTAGACCAAATTTTTGTCAGTGTGGTAGCACCAGCTATGAGCAAATAGTTAACCCCCAAATTGGGGTCAAAAGTATGAAAAAAACAGACTTTTATAGTAAAGATGCAAGCAATACACTAAAAAAAAAGAAAAAAAAAGATTACCAGTAATACATTTGACTCTAGACAAAACCCTCTTTACAAAAATACGTCAATGAACAAACTGATTTCTTACAAAGAATACATAATCTATTCATACGGTTCGTATAAATAGAATATCCTAAAAATCTTAAATTGGCATTAAATAAGCCAGTGAGGTTGGCATTAAATGACCCAGAAGGAGTTGATATGCCACTAAACAAACAGGCAATCTTATATTTAGTACAATGTTGGTAAAAAAAAAAAAAACTGGAGAGTTGAGTTAAAGGGAAATAAGCCTTGTTTTTTATGTACATTGTTCAGACCGCCGTCGCCATCTTTATTGCCATATTCACGACGTTTCGGCCGTATACAAAACCTCAGCTCAGAAATAGAGACAAGCCTTGTTTTCTTGAGACTTTCCGATGGCAAAAATAGAAACACACATTATATTAACATATCACAAATAAACAATGTATTTACTTACTTGATTTATATTATTCGGGCTGTTATCCTTAACAAAAATACGTCAATGTACAAACTGATTTATTAAAAGAATACATAATCTATTCATACGAACCGTATGAATAGAATATCCTAAAAATCTTAAATTGGCATTAAATAAGCCAGTGAGGTTGATATACAGTAAAACAACATAAACCAAACGAAACCAATTCCCTGTTCTCGGACCGTAAATAATTTAACAGCCGCATCTAACAAACAAAGATAATTTCTTGAATTTTTAAACCTGTTAGATCGATACGTTCGACAACTTACTTCCATTCTTACTTAATGATCCAGTATTAATTATAAAATACTGTGTCAAATAAATTATTCACATCTGCCATTAGAACGGATGGATGCCCCATCAATTGGTGCTAATTCATACAACACAAAACCTGATTATTTCTTTGGCATTTGTTGAAAATGCACGTTTAACTGACTTCCATTTTTGTACTATTTAAATAAAGCATACTCGTCGTTATGAAATGTTAATTTTTCTTTTTTTGTTTTGTTTTGCTTCTGTCTATATTTCTGTGATGAGGTATTGTCACTATTTATACTATTTATATTTTTCGGACTGTTGTCCTCATCTCTTTTTGACATTTTCGCGACGTTTCGTTCTTCTTCATGACCTGCCTATATTTCTGAAATGACGGAATGTAAATATTTACACTATTTATATTGTTTGAACTGCTGCCATCTTTATTGTCACATTCACGACGTTTCAGTCATTGCACACTCCGGCCTTCTTCAGGGTTTGCCGATATTTCTGAGATGACGGATTGTAAATATTTACACTATTTACATTGTTCGGGTTGTTGCCCTCATCTTTATTGCCATATTCATAACGTTGTACGCTCCGACATTCTTCAGGTGACATACACTAGAGTTCAAAAGTTTGAGGTTGCTCCTGGTAATTTTTTAAATTGGCCTCAAAAGTAGTTGTTTTTTTTGTCTTGTTTTTTTACTTTAAATAAGAGAAAAATATTATATATGGTTAAAAAAAGTGAGATATGATCTTTTATTAGAAATTTTATTCTGATTAAATTTTGCTCTCGTCAAAATATCCTCCTTTAGCCTTGATGACTGCAACACAAATTTTTGGCATTCGTTGCAAAAGTTTCTCAAAGTATAAGTTAGATAATTGATTTCATTCTTTATTCAATGACTCTAAGAGCTTTTTAAATTTTTTTTTTTTTCGCTCTTATGTCAAGTTCCTCCCATGCTAATTCTAGCGGGTGGCTTCAAAAGTTTGAACTGTAGCGTACGTCGGAAGAAATAAAGGGTTCGGTTCTGAATTCCAGCGTATATCTCCTGAAGAAGACCGGAGCGTACAACGGTCGAAACGTCGTTAATATGGCAATAAAGAAGGGAACAACAGTCCGAATAATGTAAATAGCGTAAATATTTTGTTTTCCTTAATATAAAGAGAATAATTATGCGACGATGTTATCTATACTGTTTCTACTTTTTTCGCTTTCAGAACATGGAAGGAATAGTTGAGAGATTTGCCTCTGGAATCACCGTCGAAGATGTATCCAGTGCAATACGAAGGGTAATTCATCTTTAATACAAATTAAAATTTACAGAATCAACTTACCAAAATAATTTTATATTTATTTTTATTTTATAATATAGCTGGCCGCTCGTGATATGGTATCCGTATCTCCTAGGGTGGTTAGCGAATCCCTATTGCAGTCGCATGCTCAGGCACATTAACACCCACAGAACGAAGCTATGATTTATTCTGAAACTATCAAGCTTGAGCAACAGCTTTGAAAAAAGCCAGTACATAAAACCCTGCGTCACGATGGCTTGTAAATAATGAACAGACTGATAGATAGAGATAGATAGATAGATAGATAGATAGATAGATAGATAGATAGATAGATAGATAGATAGATAGATAGATAGATAGATTTTATAGTATTATCAAGACATATCAGCCCTTACGCCATCGATAGTTTGACATGATGTTTGTCTATCTATCTCAGTTTGCTCATATCTATCTATCTATCTCAGTCTGCTCATATTTATCTCTAGTATTTATTCTGTTCATACCTCGCTCTGAAAAGGGTAAAAAAGAGGGAAAGCGTGAATGAAATGAGATTTTAGAATCTAAGTCAACTGCAAATGTCAATTGAAATGAGATTTATTGGTGAACAAACTGAGATAGCGAGCTAGCTAGATAGATAGATAGATAATGAACAGACTGAGATAGATAGATAGATAGATAGATAGATAGATAGATAGATAGATAGATAGATAGATTTAACATACTGAGATAGATATAGATAGATAGATAGATAATAAACGGACTGAGATAGATAGATAGATAGATAGATAGATAGATAGATAGATAGATAGATAGATAATGAACAGACTGAGATAGATAGATAATGAACAGACTGAGATAGATAGATAGATAGATAGATAGATAGATAGATAGATAGAATACAGTGGACAATACTTCTCACATCAAACGACGTGATCAGTCCCATTACTTTTCAGGCATTGAATATGCTCGTATAATCAATTTAAATGGGTTTTAATTTGATATGTACATGTGCTTTGTATTTCTTTCGAAAATAATTTAACTAATGACATTTAACATTTTTCACTTCACACCCACGATCCTCTTACAACACAGCAATGTGTCGCAGCGCAGAAACGTGCTGCGGCTCATTGGTTGAAAATCACTGGTTTAAAAAATCACAGCTACTAACTCCTGGATTCTATTTAGAACTGGTGTGTTTCAGCACGCCGTAATTGTCAATGTCTGCAACAGGTTTAAGATAATATCGTATGATTATCTATCTACTATGGCATTTGCAGATTTTTAAGAGCAAATGATGTAACTAATCTGTTCCAGTATTCTTTCTCCAACCAGTTCCTTGTCTCCAATGTGAAGCTGACTGGCGATAAGGCAGAGTTTCGTATAGTTTTGGCTTTCTTCGGTACTTTTGGCTTTCTTCGGTACAATTGCTGCAGCTGAGACGGACACTCCTTTGTGTTTCTGTCCAGTCACAACAAATGCTGCGCTAGCACCACTAGCTGAACCAAAACTCCCAGGTGAAAATCCCTAGTCGTTCTAGACTGGCGTATGCCACACACACACACACACACGCACACACAATGTTAAAGTTTTTTTGTTTTTTTTTTTCAATCTTAATGTGAATTCTTCTGACCGGTTGACGAGTTATCTTGCAACAAATTTCCTTATGATGGATCTTCTTACTCTGATAGTGAAATAGTTTTGTTGAGACTATATGTAGAGAGTCGTAACGCCACGCAAAAATAGTATTAAAAGTTGAAGTAAAAGACAAAAGAAAAGTTTAATTAAAAATCACTAAAAAAAAAAATAAAATAAACAGGCTTTATGAATTCGGTAAGTTCATTTCCAAACGAAAACCTCAAGTATGCCTGGTTGCTTTTCAGGGAAATATTGAATATTACTCGGGAGAAGTTGAGTTAAATGCGAAATTTCGGACGTTTGCGAAAAATGCTAATTTAGTGTTTTGTGGACACAACACTGTTGCAGCTCAACTGAAGATCAATTCCAAGCGGGGTAAGTTCAACGTTTCTCTATTTTTTCCTCTCCTCAATTTCAAAACTTCAGCTATTAACCAGACATTACATTTCAAAACATTGAATAACTCATTTGAATTATTATTGATATTTCATTAATTATTCACACTAATACAATCATCTTTGTTGTTTTGATCCATACTTATCGACCGCTTCCCTTTAGGGCCTTCCAATATTGTTATTATTCAACGAATTATTCAAATTAACATACCCATCTTTGTTTTGACATTCATAACTTTTCGGTCCTGCATTCATCGGTCCTCCCCCGTATTTTCTGAAATTCTGAGATCATATATTTTCATTATTTCATGTAATATTTGAACTGTTATCCACATCTTTATTATTTTCATCACACAGTTTCAGTATATTTTTGGCTTCCCTTGGTACTATCTAAATTCATCATTCCATGGATTTTATTTGATTTTGTTTTGTTTTTTTTAATCAATTCATCCCAAGCAAGGCGATAATGCCATTGAGACGCAAGGGACTACTGAGAGCGAAAGAGAATGTAAAGACTTTAGAAGGAACCGGAAACCCAATCCTAAACGGGAAACAACGGAAGAGCCTCTACCCTTGATCAAAGGAGGGGTGTGAACTAGCCATGGGGAAACCTATCTACTCCCATTGGTGGAGGAGAGAAAAACTGAAGCAAATTTTAAAAGGAACTGGAAACCCAATCCTAAACAGGAAACAAGGGATAAACCTCTACTCCTGTTTAAAAAACAGGGGAGGAGTGTGAAGCGGGCGATAGGCGAACCTACCCACTACTATTGAAGAGAAGAAGAGTAAAAAAAAAAGAAAATAAATAATTAGTAAATAAAAGTGATGTCATAAGTATAGAGTTGAAGTAGATTTCGTAAGGTACCGGAAACCCAATCCTGAACAGGTAACGAGGGAAGAGCCTCTACTTCTGTTGAAAAGACCAAGGAGGAGTGTGAACCAGTCATAGTTAAACATATCTACTCTAATTGGTGGAGGAGAGAAAAACTGAAGCAGATTTTAGAAGGAACTGGAAACCCAATCCTAAACAGGAAACAAGGGATAAACCTCTACTCCTAATTGTAGACATAAAGCCACATGAACAAGAAAAGAACTGAAAATTTGACAATATTTTCAAGTTTAACACTTTAAGAACGAAAGCTTCTTACTGAATCTTGTAAAATTTGTTCATAATCATTTACGGATTACGAATATTTACGAAACGAATATATGATAAGTAAGACTGAATCAATTGGGAAGGAGCAAATTTAATAATCTGTTTCGATTATTATTCTTCGATTATTATTATTATTTCTCAGATAAAGGACAGAGATTTCCTTGGCACGGGACTGCACTACCTTCAATAGGGATACAACTCTTTACCTTTTCAGTAATACTTGTTTGTTATGGACAGATCACGTTGAAACACCGGTTCTCGTACGCTCACCGAAGTTAAGCAACGTCGAGCATGGTCACATAGATGGGTGGCCCACGTCCAGAAAGAACACAGCCTATAAACGAGTATGAATTCCAACTGAATCTCTTTCTGTCCACTAAGCAATAATGCTTCTTAGAAGACACATTAATCTCCATCTTTTTGCTCTCTGTAACATCGGCTTATGGCCACATAGCGTTGAAACATTGGTTCCCGTGCGAAGTTAAGCCTGGTTAGAATTTATATGGGTGACCTAGATGGGTAACCGCTTGTGAAAACCAGGTGCTGTAAGATTGGATGTGCGGGCGGTGTAATGGATAATGACTCGGAGTTGGTAATCGGGGAGCCGGGTTCCAATTCCCATTGGATTCATTATATTCGGGTACGCGCAAATGCGCTTGGGAAAAGTATGGATCCAGCTATTCTCCCTTCCAACTATGAATTAATCAGTAAGACTTGTATCATTAAATCATTATTACCTCCCAAAAAATCTTACACTCTAAAAATATTTTCTGTCTTTATATAAACTGCAAACGTTTGATAAGCCGTAAAAACGAATCAGTCAGTCAGTGATTACTTGTTTCCTAATCCTTGTTCTCTGGCAAGCATATTTACCTTCTATATCAGAAACAAGTTTAGTTCAGTTTGATTCGTAAATAAAAGAAGTTAGGAAGATTGTATTGCGCCAGTCTTCCAAGTGGGAAGGTCCTGTCAACGTTGATATTTTCTAAGCTTAGTTTAATATGGCGCACGGCCAAATTAGAGCAAAATGAAAGTTAGAAAGATTGTATTGTGTCAGTCTTCCAAACGAGAAGGACCCCCAAACTTGATATTTACTAACTTTAGTATAGTACAAGGCTAAATGAAGGTAAAATCAAGGTTAGGAAAAGAGTGTTGTGCCATTTTTTTCAAGTTAGGAGGGCCTTCCTTGATAATTACTAAGCTTAGATTAGTATGACACAAGGCCAATTTGAAGAAACGAGGTAGGATGATTACGTTACGATTATTTTCCCAGGCAGCTGAGATGTCTACATAAAAGCTCCGGCGTTTAGTGTAATGGTTGACGACTCAGAAAAGGAACTCGGCATGCCATGTTCGAATTTCGATGTGGTTCGTTAAATTCACTTACGCACAAATACTCTTAGGAATTATATGAATCCATCTTTTCTCTCCTTCCACCAACCATTTATGGGTTAAAGGTTTGTGCAAATTGGACTCTCAAGCTTTGGTTGGTAACCGGTTTAAGAGAAGAACAACTCTTCATTCAAAACTGCATGCAGCCCTGACGAAGAGCATTACTGTGCAGTCTTTGAATCTCAGCTGAGGTAGAATATTAAAAAAAAAAGAGAAAAAAAAAAGAACAGTCTGGAAAAATCACTCCCGGCTTTTACCTTGTTTTAAACATTGACCATCAATGAGGGTTAATTATGCAAGCCACTGTTGGGATCCGTCTACCCAGATTTTATGTTGCTATCTGAGTATCGGTAACCCAGATATTTAATAACAACTCATCACTTAAATGAAACATAAAAAAGGCTTATTTGTTGAAGGAAAGTAGTAGAACATCTGTTTAAATAACATTTATATATTCTTTTCTTACTGGTTGTTTTCTTTTTATTTTATTTTATTTTTTATAAGATGTTTTAATTCTTATTGTCATAAATAACTAATTATATTGTTGGGGCACCGACTGCCCAGGATTTTGTTGTTATCAGAGTGCATGGAATACAAACCTTGACAGCAACACATCTGTTCAATGAGACATAAAAAAAAGGTTTATTTTCTGAAGGAAAAATAGAAGCAGAACAGTTGAAAAAATATTTATATATTCTTTTCAGAATTATGCAATAGCAATGAAATGTTCAATATTCCTTGCAGGGAAGCTTGTTTTAGAAAGTAATTAAAAGTTCTTAGTGTCCTGTGAAATGTTTGAACAGGCTGATTTAATGACGGTAGTTGTCGAATAAAATTTGGATGATCAAAATATTTGGGAACATGGAACTCATTTAAATCTGTTGCCAGAATGTCTTCAGATGTAATCTGTTGGGATCCATCTATTCAGGCTTTTGTTATTATCTGAGTGCCAAGATTCCAAACCATTAACGACAACCATAACAACAACACATCTGTTCATTGAGACATGAAAAGGTTATTTGCTGAAGGAAAAGTACAAGCAGAACATCAGTTGAAAAAACATTTATATATTCCTCTCGATATACAATAACAACAAAATGTTCTTACTGGTTGTCAATTTTTTTTTTGTTATAAGATATGTTTTAATTCTTATTGTCATAAATAACTAATTATATTTTTGGGTGACCGACTGCCCAGGATTTTGTTGTTATCTGAGAGCAGGGATTAACAACAACAGCAACAATATATCTGTTCAATGAGACATAAAAAGGTTTATTTTCTGAAGGAACATTAGAAGCAGAACTTCAGTTGAAATATCATTTATATATTATTTTGAAAGTTGAAATAACATTTCTTAAATGAAACATAAAAAGCCTTATTTACTGAAGGAAAAGTAGAAACAGAACATCAGTTGAAATAACAACCATATATTCTTTTCAAAAATATGCAATAACAATAAAATGTTCACTTTTCATTGTACTGAAGTTTGTTTTATAAAGCAATTAAATGTTCTTATTGCAGTAGAAAATGTGTAAAGAGGCTAACTTTATGATGACCAGCCTAATGTATTCGTGAGTTCGTAGACAAAAGTTTAGTAGGCGGTTGCTGGTTAATACCTTCTATTGTATGCGAGGACAAGACCTAAGTAGGCAGTTACTGGTTAATACCTTCTATTGTATGCGTGAGCAAGAACTTAGTTGGCGGTTGATGGTTAATAGCTTCTACTGTATGCGTGGACAAGACCTTAGTAAGCGGTTGTTGGTTAATACCTTCTATTGTATGCGTGAACAAGACCTTAGTTGGCGGTTGTTGGTTAATACATTCTATTGTATTCGTTGACAAGACCTTAGTTGTCGGTTGCTGGTTAGTACCTGCTATTATATGCGAGGACAAGACCTTAGTAGGCGGTTGCTGGCTAATACCTTGTATTGTATGCGAGGACAAAGCCTTAGTAGGCGGTTGCTGGTTAATACCTTGTATTGTATGCGTGGACAAGAACTTACTTGGCGGTTGCTGGTTAATAACTTCTATTGTATGCGTGGATAAGAACTTAGTTGGCGGTTGCTGGTTAATACCTTCTATTGTATGCGAGAAGAAAGCCTTAGTTGGCTGTTACTGGTTAATACTTCTATTGTATTCGTGGACAAGACCTTAGTTGTCGGTTGCTGGTTAATACCTTCTATTGTCTGCGTGCTAAAGGTCTTTGTTGGCTGTTGCTGGTTAATACATTCTATTGTATGCGAGGACAAGGCCTTAGTGGGCGGTTGCTGGTAAATACCATCTATTGTATGCGTGGAAAAAACCTTAGTAGCCAGTTGTTGGATAATAACTTCCATTGTATGCGTGGACAAGACTTTAGTTAGCGATTGCTGGTTAATACCTTCTATTGAATGCGTGGACAAGGTATTAGTTGGTGGTTTTTGGTTTTTTCCTTCTTTTGTATGCGTGGACAAGACCTTAGTTGGCGGTCTCTGTTACCTTCTATTGTATGCGAGCACAAGGCCTTAGCAGGCCGTTGCTGGTTAATACCTACTATTGTATGCGTTGACAATACCTTAACACGTAGTTGCTGGTTAATACCTTGTATTGTATGCGTGGACAAGGCCTTAGCAGGCCGTTGCTGGTTAATACCTTCTATTGTATGCGAGCACAAGGCCTTAGTAGGCGGTTGCTTGTTAATACCTTCTATTGTATGCGTGGACAATGCCTTAGCAGGTGGTTGCTGGTTAATACCTTTAATTGTATGCGTGGGCAAGGCCTTAGCAGGCAGTTGCTGCTTAATACCTTCTATTGTATGCCTGGATAAGTCCTTAGCAGGCAGTTGCTGGTTAATACCTTGTATTGTATGCGTAGACAAGTCCTTAGTAGGCGGTTGCTTGTTAATACATTCTATTGTATGCGTGGTCAAGGCCTTAGTTGGCGGTTGCTTGTTAATACATTCTATTGTATGCATGGACAAGGCCTTAGTTGCCGGTTGTTCGTTGCCTTTCCTCCATTGTGTGCATGTTTCAGTAGCTGCGTGTACCCGCATGTATAGATCTGATTGGTTTGAACTTTAGTAGTCGTATGTTTCTATTTCCATATCTGTAAGGGGATTTAAAACCTAATTTCACAGAGAGGTGTGAACTTTTTCAATACATGATTTTCACTGGTTTGCGAAAATCATTTTCTCGCATTTTCGGGAGCGATAAAGGGTATATTGTTATTATTGTTATTATCTAAATGGTCAAAAAATAACGTGTTAGATCTACAACTACGGCCGCAATTATTTTGGCGGTATTTGCACTTGTAATGATTGTTTATCTAATAAAATTTCTGATGGGATTTTTATTGTTGGAAATATATATATATATATATATATATATATATATATATATATATATATATAGGCTGCTTCTTATATTAAAAATTTAGTTTTGTAAGTATTTTTTAAATGTTTCACTCTGAATATACATTTTTTGCAATTCGTTTGCATCTTTAAAAGTCGTCAAATGTGGCATGTAATTGAAAACACGTTAGTCAGTTATGTGCCATGCGTGATAAATGACTGACGAGGCAGATTTTTTCCCGCGGTAGTTTGCCATTTTTTCTGCGGTAGACCACTTGCCATCCAAGGCCATAGAACTTGGTCTGTCCTGCTATTTATCTATAGCTGGGAAGTGAAGTAAAGGATTCATTCCTTTCCCAAAGGTATTAGCACATAAGTGAATGTAATGGATTCGACTGGAATTTGAACTCGGATCTCCGATTCCTCAATGCTAGCCGCTATGCATTAATCCATTTCTATATTTGAAATTTCTATTTTTTTACGTTTTCCTCATTTGGGAGTCCATTTCTTTGTTTTGTTTTATTCCTATTCGTGCGTTTTTTCCCCCAATTGGACAGAGTACACAGATATTGGCGGGAACGAAGAGTTACCACTTGGTGAAGAATTCAACAGCCACGTCAAGTGCTTCATGAATCTCCAAGAGAAAAAAGTGGAAAAACGATTCGAACCTGCCGCCATTCTGATTGAGCAGCTGCAGTAAGTACAACAAATACGCATGCGCCGGCACTTTTCATTTTGCACGTTGTTTTTAGGTGTTTGGATATCAACTAAAAATTTGATAAACTCTATCTGCAAACAACTAAAATTAATTTAACAGTGAGAATTGTTTCATTTAAGTATTTAAAGAGATTAAACAACATTTAAATGATAATCTAATTTTATCGCAAGTCAGTTTTTAAAGGAGTTCAAGTTTTCTTTGTTTTTCGAAATGTTTCTTTGTGATAAAAATGCAAAAAAATTATTTCGTATTAATTGTTTAAAAGGATTTCTTTCATCTTATTTCTCTTCCCTTTCGTCACACTAATAGTATCAGATATAATAGTCTATGAATTTCAATTATTAATTTCTGACTAGTATTTCTGCCAACTTATTTCTTTTACTCCTTATTACACTAGTAAAGTTAAATATAATAATCCATGAATTTCTTAATATGATATAATGTATTTTCTGTTCATTCGTTATTTTTATAGATAAAAATGTTTAAGTAAATGCACTGTTTATAATAAACAGTATTAACTACATTTACCGGCCTGAATATCCGAGAAATTTCATAGAAAATATGTGTCCTCTGACAGGAATCGAACCTGTATCCTACACGAAACAATCATATAGCCTGACATGCTATACCGTTTAGCCACAGAAGAAACCGATTTTCCCCTTATTTTTCTCGAAGCGTATCTTAACGTAAACAAATGATATCATATATAAAGAAATCGATTAAGTCTGACATTTATTTTAATATATTTTCTGTTTATAACTTACTTTTATAGATACAAATATTTAAGCATTTATTTAAATATTTGTATCTATAAAAATATCTTAAAAATAATTGTCGGACACGGTCCATTTCATTACACACACACACACACACACACACACATATATATATATATATATATATATATATATATATATATATATATATACACACAAACACACACACACATATATATATATATATATATATATATATATATATATATATATATATATATATATATTAAAAAGAAGAGCGATACCGCAAACGTTTTTGGTTGTAATGTGGATTAAAAAAAATATTATGCTTTATTTTCCATAATTTTACTACACGTGTTTCTGGTCACGCGACCGTCTTCAGGTAAAAGGCGGAGATTTCCACATATTATTAAAAATAATTAATTTTTTTCTCCTTTAAGTTTTTCGATATTAAACATTCTCGATATGAGACATTCTCTGTTTTTGTGTTAGTAATCCTAATGTCTTTCTTGAACTGTTCAAAGAAGAAAAAAATTTTATTATTTTTAATAATATGTGGAAATCTCTAGCATTTCACACTATCAAACTGCGCTCACATCCATTGTTGGTCTCCGTAAGCGTCGATGGGTATCAATGATTGACGCATTGATCGAAATCTTATTGATCGTTACCAATCAGCGCACTTCGGGAATAAAGAATAAGGCTTCAGCAAGATTTAAACCCACATTGATTATTCCTCCATAATTTTTTTTGCATTGAAAAAAATTATGTACTTTCCCGAACGCTAATATTGACGCTAATATTTTTATTTATTTTATACTCAAATAATTAGTTTTAATTGTCTTTTAAATATTTTAATATTATTTTTAGTAGTATTTATTTTAAAAAAGAAAATAGAAATAGAAAATTAACAATTGACAACGCATTAGAAATTTAAAAACTGTCATTAAATACATTTTACTTCAAAGACTATTATATGTGTTAAATTTTATTTCCAAGACTTATAAATTATATACTTTACTTCAAAGTCTATTATATTTCATACATTTTACATCAAAGACTATTACATTTCATGCATTTTACTTCAAAGATTATGTTTAATATATTTTACTTCAAAGTCTATTATATTTCATAGTTTTTACTTCAAAGACTATTACATTGGATACATTTTACTTCAAAAACTATTATACTTTATACATTTTACTTCAAAGATTATTACATTTTACTTAATTATACAAGTAACGAAAAGGAAGAGTTTAAAATGTAAAAATACTAATTAAAAATTTATAATAATTAACAATGCTTCATTTAAGTGATTCATAGACTATTATATCCAATACTACTTCCATTATAAAAAGCAAGAAAAAAGTTCAATGTATAATTTTTTAAAATATTAATTAATGGCCACAACTTCATATTCAAAGACTATTATATGAAATACTCTACTAATAAAATAATCAGCAAGAAAAATAAGAAATGAAAAATTATGCTGGTCAAAAATGAATAATAACTTGCAATATTTCATGTACGAAATTCAAGGATTGTTGCATGGAAGCTGACATCTTGTCTTCTTTCTCTTCGTAGCATATCGGCGAAAGAAACCAGATTAAATGAAGTGAAACGAAAAGAAATGGATGAACTGAATATTAAGTGCTTGCAAGTTTTGCGAGCACTTATCCACAACGAGGAAAGGAAACTCAGTGAAGATTGGGAAATCAGAACAGGAGAAACCAAAATTATTAAGTAAGTGCGTTATTTATAGTAAAATTCACACAATACGTGTCTCGAAAGCCACTCAAGATAGAGCGTTACTTATATAATCGTTATGATGAATTAGGAGTGTGATATGAATAAAGTAGGAGGTAGTACGAAATGGACGTTTTGTTTGGTTTGGTTTACGGCATATCAACCTCAGATCAACCTCAATGGGTTATTTAATGCCGACAAGATTTTTATTGCTGTTAATAATTTTTTTCAAAAATGTATTGCTGCTAATATATTTCTTTTCCAAAAATGAACTGCTGGTAATATTTTTCCCTCCAAAAATGAACTGCTGGTAATACTCCCCCCCCCCAAAAAAAAATGTTGGTAATATTTAAAAAAAAAAACGTACTGCTGATTATCTTTTTTTTAAAAAATGAACTAATGGTAATATCTTTTTCAAAAAAATATATTGCTTGTAATGTTTTTTTTTTGTTTTTTCCCCCAAATGTATTGCTTCTAATAATGTATTGCGGCTAATATTTTTTTCAAAAAAAAATTTCAATTTTCAAAAATTCAGTGTTAATAATAATTTTTTACAAAAAAGTATTGCTGATATTAAAACCTATTTTTTTTTTAACTTTCATAGTGTTTTAACCCCAGTCTGGGAGTTCACTATTTGCTCATAGCCGGGACCCTAACAGGTGTTACTACCCCGGGTCAGGGTGGACCTGGGAACCCAGCAATTAAGAGGTCGTTCTACGCTCCTCAAAACCTCCTGATCAGAGGCCTTGCTGCCGGTTGTAGTTTATCCTCATACCCGGGACGCGGATGTAGTTTATCATCATACCCAGGACGACGAAATGAAGATTATGAGGATAAGAAGTATAAATAAGAATTGAAACATGACTTGTTACGATTGTAGTGTTCATGGAAACATCCATGCAAGGGTATGCTATACAAAGTGTCAATTCTTAGGAAAAAATCGTCTTAGGATAACTTTCTCCTTACATTTGGAATATGGTGGAAATTCAGGTTATTCGGAGGGTTTTTTTTTTTTTTTTTTTAATAATTTCACCCCAAGCAAATGAATAATCACACGAAGACGCAAGTGGTTACCGATCGCGAGAGAGTATAACAAAAATAAGACATTGTTAAGAGGCGGGAATAATAAAATAACAAGGATTACGAACACGGAAGATAACGACTGACATTGCATTTAAAATTTGATGATCGAAGTTGCTAGAAAAGCAAGATGCTGGAAATCATTTCCACAAACGAGAAGTTGTTAACATAGAACTTACGGTTACATCCAATAATTTCAACTGTAAAATGATGACACTGTAGCGCGCATCACCACAACTATTTATCTTTGACTGGGAATGACGTGGAAAAAGACAAGCAAAGACGCTGGAGGTTACCAAACATGTAGCGGTCACAATGCAATTTATATTTGACGTAAAATAGCACATAGTGTAAAATACAAGACAGAACGGAATGGTTCAAAACATAATTGAATTTATTAGTGTTGATGTACATGTATATAAGGTGAAGGTTTGAATGAGTTATTCTCTTAGATTTGGAAATATTTGTATCGGAGCTCATAAAAATGAAGTAATTATTAAACTGAAGTTTTAGAAGAATAAAGTTCCTGTTGCATGTTAGGAAAAGTGAATTGGTAAAAATTCAGAAGAGTTAAGGGTTCGTGCTTGCGTGAATTGATAATGTTCTTCAACGTCTGACCGCACGGTCAAGACGGAAGCTCTTGAAGATTACATCTTGGCAGCAAGGAATAAGATGAATGAAGAGAAAACACAAAGAGAGAGAGAGAGTTTACACGTGTTTTGTTTATCTACGGTGGTGTATCACGTGACTGGCTCAAACCTTAGTGAGCGGGAAATTTCATTCATCGCGTGCAGGATATCTGATTGGTCGGAATTGACCAATCAGCGAGCTAGTTTTGAGGAGATTAACCAATCAGCATGATTTGTATGTATGATGGTGATGATAGTTACCACAGCACCTTGCCGCCACTCTAGTAGAGCGCTTACAGTCATAAAGTCTAGGTACCGTGGAGAAACGTTTATCAGAACAATTACCACGAAAAGGTACGGAAAATCTAGGTTACGGTGATGGGGAAAGGACTGAAGTCGAGATGCCAAGTCAAGTCTTATAACATTGAATGTTCTTTTTGTATTTTATCAAGAAGCTATAAATATGTAGCAGAAGCACCAGACCTGATGTGACAACAATATTCAAGGCTGTAGACGGTTAGCTTATGAATAATTTAAGATAGATTCTGGAAAGAAAAATGGTTTACACGAAATAGTGAACAAGGCTCCTAGCAGAAAACCGAGCAGCTAATTCAATATAATCTTTGCACTTCATTAGCCCACGCATCACTCTTCCCGAGGTTAGCACCAGCTATAGTGATGAAATTCAAAAACAAAAAGTTCTCTTATACGATTAAAAGAGACTCGTTTCGTTTTGCAGGCGTTAAAATTAACAAGTGAATTGTTACCCCAGTTAACAAAAGATTATAGGTCATTTCAGCTGTTAATTTGAACTTATTGAACCAATCAGACTTGCATTTAATACTTCACAGAAGTAGCAGGTTGTGTCCTAATTGTAAAGATCTGAACTAGTCGACCTAAAGATTAGAGCTTAGCCAAACATTTGCCATAGAAATAGCGATAGATTAACGATAGGCTGGCAATATATAAATATCTAAGTATATAAGTAAATAATAAATTTCATCAGCATAATAGCAGCATTGATGGAATATAATATTACAGACTCCCCGCTGGGAACGGATACAAACCACGTGACATCTTCCATTATATGATTTACTTTACATTGGTAATATTAGCCATGGGGTAAGGAAGTGTCAAAACGCCATAGCCTCCGAGCAAACAAAGGAATTTATTTTTTTCATTTATTATTTGAGATTGAATATTTTTCTAGACAACTAAACATGGTGGGTGAGATAGTTGTTTTGTTACAAGTATGAGAGGTCCCGGTTATTAAACACTATTTCGACGGCTGATTTTCAAAGCTAGCATTTCCATCCCCACTTGAAAGACAAGGGCAACCCAATCTTCTTATTTCCACTTAATTTTAAAAAAAACCTAAACTGACTAAATATCCAGGTAGACCGTTTTTTTTTTCCTTTTTATTTTAAGCCTGGTTCATTACAATATTTATAACACTATTTCTGACTATCTATTTACGTACCTATAAGTCTGCCATTCGTCTACACTTAAAATATTTCTGCTACATATAGTCCGATAACTCTGCTATTTTACCTTGAGCTCCTTGATAAATCCAAAGAAGGATCAGCAATATTATTGGTCCTGATCTGGCGACCCGACTTCAATTACTTTCCTACCGTCGTAAGGTTGCATCTCTGTGTCTTTTCAATAAATACTTCCGGCTCCATGATTTCCGGCCAACTTTAATCATCAAAAATTTAAATGTATTGTTATCTACTGTCTTCCTGGTTACTCTTTTGCTGTTTCCACTCGTTATTAATGTTTCTGTTCCTATTTCTCCTACACGCAGTAATCCCTTGTGTCTTAGTGGCTTTATTTCCTTGCTTGTGGAGCTCTCTTACGGATCCATGCTTTCCGTGCAACTTTAATCTGCAAAAATTTACATGCAATTGTCAATTGTTATAAACTGTCTTCCTGATTACTCTTTTGTTGTTTCCGCTCGTTATTAATGTTTCTTTTCTTAGTTCTTCCACATCCACTAACCACTTGTGTCTCAGTGGCTTTATTGTCTTGCGTGGGGTGATACCGATTAAAAAAAAACTATATTTACCCCGTAATTCAGTTTCATAAATATAAAATCTAGATAGCAACTTCGTCACATTGAATGTTTTTGAGAGAATTAAAGCAAAATAAACTGGCAATATTATTGGCGCGCTTGAAGAGAATTACCATACGAAAAACTGGTTTTATTTTTTCTAGTTAAGTATCACAATAAACTGACAACATTTTGGGTATGGATGAAAAGAATTATTCTTTAACTATATGCTGTATCCCTTCAGATCAAGGCTCTCCACGATTTCCTGTCCTTTGAATCTCTTAATATATTTTGTCATTTTTTGTTATCACTCCTAAACCTTGTTCCGCCATCCATTTACACAAGCTCGCTAAGTTTATTATGCGTAATTTTCCTCTGTCTCCTTGCCTTTGATCTGACCAGTGAATATCAAATTTTCCAAGCCGTCTTTCTTTATTATGTCCCAGAGAAATTTCATCATACGCTATTGATCCTGAGCTGCCATTATGAAGCCTACTGTCTAGGCTTTCAAGCCGCTTCCCCTCAGCCACTGTTGAACCACATCGCCTTCTTTCGTTCATTTTAGGGATTTGTCATGCAATGCCTTGTCCGCCCGATGGTCAATCGTCATCTCGATTTCTCATTCTCATGATTTCCACTTCCTATCTCATCCTCTTCTATTCATATCCCACACATCATTCATCATTCTAAAAGTAAACCTCTATATTGAGTGGCTCTCAAGCCCTGTATTAAGGGAATTTTTGTATTAAAGAATTTCATTCAATTTGTATTAGGATATCAAATTGCAATAAGTTTCCACAAAAGTCCTGCAATATTTTCAATATCACAATAACTACTTTTTTTACATCAAATTACTGTTTTTGTTTTGTTTTAATATTAAGATATAATTTAGTTTTCAGGGTAAAATTTCAAAGGAAAAAGAACTCACAATAGTTTACTGAATGCATTACTTAGATGTAGAAACGTTCTGGTCACGTGGTCTCGGTTCTGATTTTATTTCAAATTTCCAAACTATTTGGCTTTTTTGTTTTAAAGAGCACTATCTCGTTTGTGTGTATTAATGGGATTGATTAAATGCCAGACACTTGCAGTGTTACGAGGGGGTCACCCATCCTACCCAGTCATACTTACTTTCATGTTACTTTTGTGCTAGTTGACTCTATTTGTTTATTACTATAATTATTTGCGTATGATACACACTCCTATGCCCTCTAACTTTAGGCTACGAAATCTTA